CTTCCCTCCCCCCTGCCCCCCCGCTTTCCTCAGAGTGGCTCCTGCTGCTTGAAGGCCAGGTGATAAGACTGCTGGGCACTTCACAATAGGTTGGCTCAGTTTTCCTGTCATCTCCTGAATCAAGGAACTCCCTTTCCACCATGTCTCCCTCCTTTTCCTTTTCCAAGCCTGCCTGGTTTTCATGATCTGCCTGAGCAACTGCCATGTTCTCTGTTCCCCTTTGCTCTTCTACCTCCTCCTTGGAATCAGATCAGGAGACTACATCAGGTGAGAGGAAGGTCCGTTCTTCACAATGGTGTTACTTTGACTACTCTCCCGTCTTCTGGTACATGGGCCAATTTAAGGAACATGTTATCTATATTTTCTTTAAGAACTCTGAGAGCTGGGATATCATCTGGACCTGATGATTTGTTCTATTCAATTTAATAATCTATTTAAAGTTTTTATATGCTGTCCAATACCAGAGTCTCTAGATGGCTTACAAAAAACAAAAACAACAATAACAACATACCGACAAGCAACATATTGCATCCGACCATTAATAATAATCAAAATTAAAACCAATTAAATGTTAACATGTTGGGAAAATAAAATTTATCAATAAGTTGTTTCAATTGTAAATAGAACTTTCTTATTATAGGTATTTATACTGCCTTTTAATCCTATTCCATTAGTGGTTTACAATAAAGCAATTAAAATGGAAATTAAAATAAACAGAAGAAACTAAATGTTTGCAGAAGAAGCATAAACCAGTCTGAAACAAGAAAATTATATCAGAAAAGTTTGGGGAAAAAATAGCAATAATTTTTTTAAAAAATAGAATTTAGCTGATGCTAAAAAGAGAATAAGAAAGGTGCCATGCAAACAGGATATACTTTTTGGTTTTGTTTTAACTAAGAATCTGAGTCCATCAACCAGAACGAGCTATAAATAGCTGGAGGACAAAGACTGTTTAAAAAGATGGGTCAGGGTGCAAAGGATGTTATACACAGTGGCTGGGTTCACATGTCACAACAAGCAGCCCTGAATGGTTTCCATAGTGTACATTTTTGCCTAGATGTACCTGACAGAAAATTGAGTGGTTCCTACATTAGTGTGGTTTCCACCTTCCTTGCTCAGTCCTCCTACTGTTGGCAGGTACTCCATTAACCACTTGCACCTGAAATTCAGTCCCATGCTAGATGGCTGGAGGAGCTCCTGCAGCTGCCACTCTTTCCAGGGGACTCTATGGTAGCTTCAGGAATCCACAATCCTGCGTTTAGACAACTGGAGAAATCATGATCATGGTGTCTCCCCTGTCAGGTAAGTATAAATGGGGACAGAAAGAATCTCGCTAGCTGCAACTTCTAGGTTGTCACCACAGAGATGGAGCTTTGTGGATGCTCCAGGTGATGAGGAGGAAAAGAGACAGGCTCCACCACCATGTCTAGTACCCTGGCTGTGCCCAAGCATACTTTGGGGACAAGACACCTAGATGGCCAAACACTGCTGGTCCAAGTGCTTGGCAGGGTGGGATAAACACAGAGCTCATGTCTGCTCTCCCCAGGAAGTTCAAAAATCCTCTGAGCTTTGAGGATCCTGGGCAGCTACACTGGAATGCTCTGCCCATCAATTTATAAGACAAATACTCCTTGTTAAACACACACACATTGTTCAAATAAAGTAGCACAGGAACTTATTTACTGGCAGGTATTTGGAAGGGGTGTATTCTCAGGGTGAGGGGAGGAAGCTGCAGTTTCACAACAACTGCTGGTGCTGCTGAATTTCAGGTGGACCACCGTGCTATGATGCTTTGTGCGGGGGAGTAGATTTCCATAAGGCTGGTGACAAAGGAACTGCATGGCACATAAGAGAAACTGAAATTGGTGTAACAGTGCCTCCCCATGCAGCCCACTGATCAGAGCTGTACTATTCCCAAAGAGAGAAAGGACAGAAGGGCAATGGGAAGAAAACCCAGAACTTTGATTCAGGTATTATAAAGTTGTAACCATGGAGGGGACCAAGGAATGCATGTACTGGCTCCATCCCTGACATTCTCAGGTTGAACTAGAAGTTGTGAAGAGAGACTGTAATTATGTGCAGCTGAATGTGGTTACAGTTCTCTCCATGGACTCAAGGTTCAAATTGTGCAGAAGAGGGTACTTATACAGAAGGTGGTGTTCAGCAAACCATGGTTACAGCTGCTCTTCAACCTCCGTAGTCTTCTCTACATGAGTTGTTTCTTCCATAGCTCTATGATGCTTATTCTTCCATTTTCATTGCCTTCTTTTCATGTCCTTTCCCCACAAGGAGCTTAATTTTTCTGCCTTCCTATAGGCTTTATTTAAAAAGTTACTCAAGGAAGGCTTTTTCAGTTTTCAGGTTTTATTATAGTCTTGGCACTTCACAATAAATAAGTGGGTTTTGGATTGCAGTTTGGGCACTTGGCCTCTAAAAGGTTCACCATCACTGGTATAGAACAATTGCAGAAAATGCACCATTTTTCTAGCATTATCGAAGCCATTGTCTAGCACTACCCAACCCCATAAGAGCTAATACTGTACTTTCCACGTTCTAAAAAAGCCAAAAGTGGGGCTGGGAATCACAGGAGAGGCCCTGGAGGATGGAACCATAACAAAAAGGACCTTCAAACTCCCCTGAGTGCACAATAATTGCCTTGTGTAGAGAGCCCCCATGCTTCCTCTATGCTTATAATTTCATAACACCTGGACAGGGTAGCCTAGGAGTAGGCAACCTGTTTGTGGTCTCCAGATGTTTTCAGCTATAACTCCCACCGTAGTCTGAGCCAGCATGGCCAATGGTCATGGACTTTGGAAGTCGTGGTGCAAAACATTTGGAGAGCACCTTACCTAAACCAAGGCTAGGCTGTCTCCCCAGTTTTAACTTCAGCTAATTTTTCTTCCTGGCAACTGCTGTAATATATCCTCCCTTGGCTTTTGGGCAGTGAAAAAAAAGGGGGGAGAGAGAGCAAGCGAGCGAGCATACTGGCTCATCAGGATCAACTGTTTTCTTCCTGCTCTCTTGATGGCAAATGGGCCAAACTTGACCTGCAGTCGGTTTTGTGACTGGGGAAGCACTGCAGGCACTTGTTTGCTTGTACCTGCAGCATACCTGATGGCCACCAACACATTTTCCTCATGTGTCCAACTGAGTTGGATTCTTTTCTTCAATGAAAATAGGTGCCATGCCTTTCTTCATTGTATCATTGCAGCAAAAGTCTTTATGAGGCCTTTCCAAATCCAGGAATGCATGGGTGATCCACTCTGACAAATGCTAGCAAGACTTTTCTCCATCTTGAATTGCAGTCCCCCATCACATACACATCATAGAGCATATTTCTATATTTAAAGTATATTTAAAAATTGCGTGGGCTGACCCAGTTTCTTAAGCAGGGTAAGATGGCTGCCTCAGGCAGTTGATCTGAGGTGTCACGAATAGCAGAAAATAGTTTGTTATTTAACTTAGTGTTTCACTTTTTCTCCAAGCAAGGGAGGGAGATGCTTGTGGGGATTTTTTATTTTTTTGCCTTGGGGCCAAAACAAAGTGATTACGTTGGTGCTGTGCAACTTTGCTTGGAAAAGGAAGGTGGAAAGGAGGAGCCATTTGCTCTGCAGCATCAGTGTGTGAAATGTTTTGAGTTGGCCCCGACAAGATGGCTGGGAATGGCTTTCCTACAGCACAGGTGGTCCTCAGCCCAATTTCAAGCAATCAGCTCAGGCCTCCAACAAGAGTGACCTGTTTTTCCCCTGACAGCTGGCTGGGAAGGGAAGGAGAGGCAGGCAGGCAAAGGGCATTTGTACTTCCATTGGCCACTGCTGACTAACCCTGACAGACGGTTCTCAAGAGAATGATGGGGCATGGCTGTGGACAGAAATAACTTTTTCCTGCTAAATTCGTCTGTGTCAGATTGAATATCCTGGTCACAGTTGTGATGCCAGGACTATCTCTTTTTAGAGAGGAACCAGGCAGTACCCTGCAGGAGACATTCAGGAGCTTATGATGTGTTTGTCTCTTTCAAAAACAAAACAAAAACATTAGAAGCAAAGTCTGTGCAACTTCATCTCAAATCTTACTATAATATTATTTGTTCTCTTTTCAATTTAGAATTGCTCCACAAGTGTAGCCACATTTTATCATCACTATGTTACAGGCAGACAGGTGGGCCTTGAAAGGTGCTAACTTATAAAATTTCTGTGCAGTGTAACTAATCCCACGCAGTAGTCTGGAAACTACCATCTTTTATCATGACTGGCATATAGTAGGCTGGCGTTGCCAAGTGGCTGCTTGCACGTCTCTAACAAAAGTTTTAAAAACTGCGGCTTACTCGGCAAGTCGCTACAACAGGGCTATTAAGCCAGTGTTTGCACTACGCAATTCGCATCTCTTCCCCATTGCACCTCTCAGGCTGCAGCAAGGATTTACCCGGGGGTTCCCCCGCCTTTTTTGGCCAACGTTGTCGCTGGCTACACAAATCCCGCAAATCTCAAATGCAACGCGCTCCAGCCGCTGCCTCTCAGGACCAAAACGAAGATTACTTTAACTGCGTGCTCTGCAGCTGTATCTTATTTGAGTTTTTAAGAGTAGACGCAGGGGTGCTGGTTTGCATCTTAACAGTTCCCCAGAACCGTGCTAGGTCCCAATGTAAATTAGTGTCCTCGCGCTTACCTTGGAATTACAAAACACCCCCCCCCCCAAAAAAAAAAATGTATAGCGGCTGCACACATACGCAAAAGCAATGCCTTTTTAGGCTGAGGAACTGGGAAAAGCATCAAATGAACCCGGTAGCCGGCAGGCATTGACAGCGCTAAGATTCGCTCTCTCTGACTCCTCCCTCCCTTCCTAGGGGCGGGAGTTAAGCAAGAGCCTTTGATTCGTCTGCTCGTTCGCGGTGGTAGCCAATCACAAGGACCGGCTCTTTCGCTATAAAAGCCGGCGTGGCGGTCGTGGAGAAGGAAATGGATTGGGAGGGGGCTGCGGAGGTTTGTTGTTTCGTTTAATGCGGGGTGGGGGTTAGCTGGTACTTCTTTGCTTTTTAAGAATAAACGGGCGGTTATCTTACCTTTTTTTTTAATAAATGCCCTTCCCGAAAGTATGTAGACTATATCTCATTTGTGTATTTATTTTTTAAGCAGTATTTTATTTTTAAGTCGCCTTCATCTGAGACAGCTGTTCCCCACCGCCTGCTCGTCTTTTCCCTGGTGTGCAAGGTAAGTGATGGGTCCTGGCGGGGCTCTTCGTGGATATGGCTTATTTCGGTGTAAATGCTGCGCGGAGATTGCCATCGGCCAACGCGAGGGGCGTGTGAGAGCAGGGCAAGTCCGGACATGTAAGCTGGGCAGGAAGCAGCGGGTCTCGCTAGCGCTTCTGTGGGTTCTACTTTCCTCCTGAAAAAAGAAGGCACTAAACCATGAAGCCCACTGAACCAGAGGAGCCAGCTGCAAGCCTTCCTGTGCAATCGTAAAGCTACTTCTGCTTTTCTGTAGATCAGGCACACCGATAATACAACAGGCCTGCAAAGCTTCGGGAAGACTTAAGTTGAAGGCCTGCTCTTTTACCGATGAGGTACACCGATCCTGAGCTAAACTATTTGCATTAGCCACGCCACAGAATTACCCTCTTAAAAACAATATATCATTTTAAGAGCCTTATGCTAATCAAACAGCACATAAATGCTTTAAATATATATTGGTTGTTGTAACTTTTTTGTAACCCCCCATGTGAACATTTATAACTGTTGCAAGATGCAGCTAGAAATTAATAAGCTAGTTTGCTTGTTCAGCAGAATCCACGAATTGTTAATGTTTACATAATTTAGTAGCTGTTCCATCATAAACTTTTCCGAAGGTGGCTTTCAGAGCCTTCTATGCAGCATTTCCTCGCGGTTTTCCTTGCTGTACAAGGAAAAGTTTGTTTTCTCTAGTGCTTAGTTCCCACTTGTTACAAGATCTTTCAGTCCAAGTAACTGAGCAGAGAGGTTGTTCCTTGAACTCTAGCTCCATGCTGAAGCCTTAAAATGTCTTGGTTAATTGGGACCAACAACCCAGAAGAAGTTGGGTCTGTTCAATGGGCTGGCCCGAGACACTCTGCTCTTCCCTAACTCCCCTTAAAGTTATATGGGGACCTGAAGCAGAAAACCCTCACAAGGCCTTGCCTGTGTTCTGGCAAATACAGAATTGAACACAATGATAAAATGAAGTATCAACTTGCAAGCTTTTCAGCACCCAGAATCTTCAGCTGACTCTCTCTGTCTGATGACAATATGCTTAAGCTGCCAACTAGCCATTGTTGGTTCCCAGGAATCTATTGACTTCCTGCAGCTAGGCTGATGAAAAAAAGCATGCATTTAGGGCATGGCTTGCCAAGCTTTCTATTATGAAGCACTTTGCTTTCTCTTGCAGTTTTACTCGCATTTGTTAGCAATGCTTTTGGATCACAGCAACACCATTTGATTTTTGACAAAATTTATAGTTTGTGAACTTGGCTATACATTCAGAGATTCATTGTAATTTAGTTCTTTATTCAGTTTATGGGTGTCTCTATATAACTTTCTGGAAAACAAGCATATTAAGATCCTGCAATGAAACGAATTGTAATGAATACCGAAATGACTATTAAATATCCTTTTCAGATTTTAAATGTGAATGTGCTGCTTAGCTTTAATAAGTCTTAAACTGTGGCCCATTTGTCATAGAATGGCAACCAATAGAATGTGTTACAGTATCTTTCATTATAAGCTGCTTTAGGTACTGCATTATGAATATAGATTAGGGTAGAGCATTGCCAGCTAAGCATACCCCCTGCATTAGTGTCTCTGTTGACCACTCTTTCCCTTCATGTCTGAGTTTTCAGTTGACAATGTTGTGGCTTACCCACTACTTCCCTTCTGCCAGTCTTCTCTCCACCTCTGCATGTTGTGATTCTTCTTGAGTAATGCAGCTTTAAGATTACATATTTAATTTAGTGATCCATGCAGAGTGACCCTGAGCGCTACAGCTACTGGTCATTGCTCCTTTGTCGGTTACCTTAAGTGATAGGCTCAAATGTGAACCTTGTGCAACTTGACATGTAAGCACTTTGCTGTAAGCAGTTATTCTCACCCAGGTCTTGTATTTCAGATGATTGAAACGTTTGCAACAGGTGAGACTCAGGAACTGCTGAACCAGCTGAATGTGTTGCTGGAACAGGAGTTGAGATGTCAGCCAAAGATATCTGGCCTGAAAATAATTGAATCTGCTCATGATAATGGACTCCGGATGACTGCAAGTTTACGGGACTTCGAAGTAAAAGATCTGCTTAGCTTAATCCAGTTCTTTGGCTTTAGCACAGAGACATTTTCTCTCACTGTGAATTTCCTGGACAGGTTTTTATCAAAAATGAAGGTAGGTCTTTAGACTGCCAATTTATCTCTACTTTTGATTAAATTTCAGACGTGGATGGATTTCCGAGTCTGCGAACATCAGGCAATTTCATTGAACCTAACATTAGTTTGTGTTCATTAGACACGTGTGTGTGTGATGCTGGATTCCTCTTAAGTTGAAATAAAGACTTGCACATTCTGAAATGTGTTCTGCAACCTGGTACTCTCCAGATGTTAGAATACAACTCCCATCATCTCCAACCAGCATCTGGCAGGCACTAGATTGGAGATAGCTGTTCTAGAAAATAGCTTTAAAGTAATTCTCTCCCTAGGCTGTTCTAAACATCTTTCTCTCAAGAAATACTGAGTTCCACAATAGATGCTAGGAAGTGACAATGCTTGAGAGGCCTTGCTTGTTCCCCAGTCATCTTCAAAATAGGTTCAAGAATGTTTCTTAGTTCTCAGCATGAAATGAGTAACTTTTCTTAGCGCATACGTGCCAGCTTTAATAAATAGCTCACACATAGTGACCCAGGATTTAGGTTGAATTGTGTCTTGTGATGTGTGATTCTTTCAATATGGTTTTAAGTATGAGTTAAGCATGAACCTAGCAAACCATGGGTTCTCTTCTTGGGTTATTCATGACCAACAACCTATAGTTGTACCACAGGGCAGGGATCTTGGATAACTTACTTTCTTGCACTAGCCACCATTCAAGAATAGTCCATCCTTAATAGTCCAGGGTTGTTGTTACATGCAAACCAGACCAGAGTGCCTGCTGTACCTGCACAAAGGTGAGCCTTCTCTGTTGCCCACCGTGCTTCTTCCCCCACACCAAGCTAGTTCTTCCCTGTGCCATTTAGTTCAGCATTTATGGTATGTGCCCTTCAGGCTGGAGAGTTGCTGTAAGATGTTTGTAGGCTTACAGTAACTATAGTTTGAATGAACTCATTGCTCTGATAGGAAATTTCAAACGAAATGTACTTGAGAAAAGTTCATCTCATGACTGTGTCTGCCTTTTAAATGTGAAAAGAGGCTACTTTTTACCTGATAGAATTCAATGAGATTTTAATACAACCTGGGTTTTTAACTCCTTTGTGATTTGTCTAGGTTTGTCTAGATTTGTTTAGATAAAATAGTTGCAGTTGGGAGATAGAATTTTCCAATGGCAGCTATTTAAAGATTTCTATGCTTCCTCTTCTAGGTACAACCAAAACACTTGGGCTGTGTTGGGCTAAGTTGTTTCTACCTGGCTGTGAAAGCAACAGAAGAAGAACGAAACATTCCATTAGCCACTGATTTAATCCGGATAAGTCAGTATCGGTTCACAGTTTCTGACCTGATGAGAATGGAGGAGATTCTTCTAGAGAAGCTTTGTAGAAAAGTGAAAACAACAACTGCCCTCCATTTTCTACAACATTATCATTCCATCCTGCATGACAGCCTGAGCTTTGAAAGGTAAACAAGCCTTTAAAAAACTTTGAATTGGTGGTTCCTTTGAAGGTGGGATGTGGGGTGTGCATTTGGAGAAGATGGGGAGCTTTCATTGTAGCAGAAGAGCAAAATAGCTGACTGTTCTGTCCAGCTTAGAACAGCTTTGTACTAAGACTGCTGTGCTCATTTTTTCTGTTGGTTAATTAGTGTTGTGCAGGCTGAAATGGGTTTCTGGGGAAAGCAAGATGAGGTATCAGTAGAACGATTTCCTTGAGATGAAGAGCTGTTGTCTAGGTTAGCTAAACACAAGTTGGATCCAAACTACTGCTGAAGTTGTTTCTCAACACAAATAGCCTCTGCAGATTGAAAACAGTGAGAATGAAATGCTGTTGTGTAGCTTGTAAATGATAATATCAGGCCATGCCTTGAAAACCCTCATGAGTACTTGGAAGCTTAAGCTGTAAACTGTCCAATTAATTAAACCTTTCTTTTTCACAGGAAGAAACATCTTAATTTAGAGAGACTTGAAGCACAGCTTAAAGCATGTCACTGCAGAATTGTTCTTTCCAAAGCAAAGGTAGGAATCTTTATTGATCAACACTTCAAAAAAAAAAAAAATCTAGAAACATACCATAACTCACTTTAATCACTTTAATCAATCTCTTTGTCCCTCAGCCATCAGTGTTGGCTTTGTCAATAATGGTCCTGGAAGCTGAAGACAAAAAGCTACTGGAGTTGATGGACATTATAGAATATCTCCGAATACATCTCAAGGTAGGTTATACATTATCAAGGACTTCTAGGAGTGGCCCAGCATTTATCATACATGCTCTGCAGACTGGGAAGTAGCTATAGGATGGCCTGTAGGCTTATAGTTACTATAGTTAGACTGGATTTATTTTGTTTCACCAGCCTCACAGCAAGTTATTCTTCAGTCTTGTGTCCTCCGTATGCTTTCCACCTCATTTCCCATCAGTTAGCATGGCCAGTGGTTTAGACACAACTAGGCACAATGGGAGTTGTGACCCCAAGCATCTGTGAGGTACTAGGCTGCAGAGAGAGTTGTGCTGACGTCATAAATATTGTTGCCTATTTAGATTATAAATTCTGTTCTTCAAAGAGGTGTTTTATCTACAATGGCTCAGTGTGATTTAATTTGCAGATGAAAGTGGCAAGGAGAAACTGAGCTATTGAGAGAATTCTAGCTCCTGAACCTTTTAGGGCTGGTCGAGTTGGGAATAAAACCCTACCTTCAATAATGTATTTCTGAAAAAATACAGTTGGGACCACAGTCTAGTAACAAACAAAACTTGCATATTGAACTTCACATGTATCTCCCCCCAAGTCTGGATCATTCAGTGGTTTCCCTGCTTTTGTTCATTTTCTCCCAATTTTGAAGCTTGGAGTGCCTCTTTTGAGGCGAGATCCCTGGCAGTAAAAGTCTTAAGCAACACTGTTCTGTTCTTTCTTCTCTAGTCTGAGTCCCTTTGCCTTCAGCTCTGCCAGCTGCTAGAATTCAGCCGTTTCCCCTGCTTAAGTGCTTGTCCAAAACTAAATTCAGTCCTTGGGCTGAAAGAAGTTCCCTGTGCCAGTCTTACTAGATGCTGACTCTAGTCTAGTTGTTCATGTTGCTAGGAGAACCATGAAGCTGACAGTGATATGCTGTAAGGGCTTAGTCATTGGCAGAGCAAGGACTTCACAGATATGGTAACCTGATAAAGACTGGGTTGCACAGGAAGCAAAATCAGAAGTATGTATTATCACCTGCCATTCACATAGCTGGCACCAACGTAATAGCACCTGGCACAAGTCATAATGCCAAGTATGCAACTGGTCTTGTTTCTGATCAGCTTTCATTTTCCAATATGTTTTGCGTAGCTAAATAGCAAAGAGCTCTCCTTCTGGAAGGAACTTGTGTCAAAGTGCCTCTCTGAATATTCCTCAAGCAAGTGCTCCAAGCCAAATGTTCAAAAGCTGAAATGGATTGTGTCTGGCCGAACAGCATGCCAACTGAAGCACAGTTACTATCGAATTGCTCACCTTCCCACTATTCCAGAAACGGTTTCTTAAAGGTGAGTTTAAATGTGCTTTGGGGGATGGATTTTAATTGTACTGAAGGCCATAATGGTTATGTAAATTGTACTTTTACTGATTTCCATAGACTGTTTAACTATCTTGTCCCTGGAGAGAACTAGGCACAAGTAAGAAGTACCACTACTCAAACTGTGCCAAGAATTAAACAACTGAACTAATGCAACAAAATTTTAACTTTTGACATAAAGCTAATTTCTGTGGATCTTTAAGGAGTAACTTCTGAAACATTCTTCCCATTCCTTTTTTTAAACAATTTTATTAAAATTTTAAACTACTACTAAAAACATCAATTCTCAGACATCGGACTTACTGGGTCAGCCCTCTACTACATATATTTTAACATTCTATAATCATATTCAAATCTATTTATAATAACTTGAAGACATCTTTAGGTCAAAACCAAGTCCTGTTTCTCCAGCCAATAAGAAAAAAAAAAGCAGTTCTGAATTTGATAGAAGTCACTATCTTCCTTCTCCTTCATCTGTAAAATCAGTCCATCCATTTCTTGCAAAGTCCCGTTTCTCTTAACCAATATTAAAGGAAAGAATCTCCAAGTTGGATGAAAATATCATCTTTCTTCACTAATAAGTTCAATCTAAACATTTCTAGACAATTCAAAACCTTTTCATTTTTCTAATAGTAGACAAATAGATTCCTCACTACCACAGTTACAAATAAAGTCAGAAACATCCATTTAACATCTTTAAAGACATCTTAGCTAATCTATTTGGTGGCAGCTAATACCTATAATATCTTTTAAACAGGCTTTAAGCTAAGTTGCTAATGTTTCATCTAGCTTAAGTCAAATACAGTTAACTCCTTATAACAGCCCAACTCTTTACAATGTTTAACATAATCTCGCTTATATCCATCCCTTATGTCAACAACAGTAACTTAGCCTTTCCATATCACATATAAGCCTGCCAACCCATTTAAGTCATTCCTTTTTAAGATAATATGTTCTCTTATTTTTACTCTATATCATAAAAAAATACCCAATTTATGTTCACATATCCAACATTCACTTAACCTTCTTAAAGATACCTTAGCCAATCTATTTAGCGACAACTATTACCTATAATATCTTTTAAACAAGCTCTCTTTAAGCTAAGTTACTAATGTTTCATCTACCTTAAACATCATCTAATCATATACAATTAACTCCTTACGAGAGCTCAACTCTTTACCACCTTTAAGGTATATCCACCCCTTTTATCACCAGCAATAGTAGCTTAGCCTTTCTATATCACATGTGAACATGCCCAACCTATTTGAATCATCCCTTTTTAAAATAAAAAGAAAAATTCTCTTATTTTTTTCTTTACACCTCTGTCCAACCTTTCTTCTTTCTTTGTTTTAAATCGTCGTAGTGCCTGTAGTAAATCATTATATAGCTTCAATTGTAGTAGTGCCTGCAGTCCAATAGACAAAGTTCCTTCTGCTAATAGCCACATAAACATAGGTTCTCTTAAATACTTAGCTGTCTTCTCTTTTTCCAACATGACGAGCAGATCCCATGAAAGCTTGCTTATTGGCTTTACTGATTGTGTTGCTTTATCCACTATTTTGAATTTTCCATCTGCTTGTTGCTTTTTTACAAGCAAACCCCATGGTAGCTTGTTTTTCTGATTTTATTTCTTTGCTCACCATTTCAGATTTTCCATCTATTTGTTGCGTATTTTGTATATTCTGCTCAAATTTGAATTGCCCGCCCAGGGCTTTATTAATGGAACTGTCTAATTTATCAAGATGTTCTTTTTGTTCAGTTAAAAAATCAAATTGTCCAATTAAAATAGTCTCCTGCTGTATTAGTATTGCCTGTAGGGATGATTGCAAAGCTGTGAAAGAAGTCTGTATTGCTGAGAGTGTCTTCTGTAATTCTTCCATATAATTCTTCCTGCCAATCATTTACCATCACTTCTGTAGAACTTATAATGGGAGTGGAGCCACTCCTTTGCTCCATTCTGTTGGGCTTGCATTGAAATTAAAACAGACAGGCAGTGAAGCTCAAACATACATTAAAGCCAGGCATAAGAGGCAAGTTATGACCTTTTTTCTTTACTGTATATCTACACACAGAGCGAGATTTCCTCTCTCCGGTGCTTGCAGTTACTTTATTACTGTATTATCATTACTACAATGCTCTATTGTGTTTAAGGCAATTTAGAGCATATGGAAGTGTCTCAAGTGTTTCATAGGCATAGAAAGGTTAAAATGTATACATGTACATTTGGCTTACTTACGTAATCTGACTTACATATGAATTTGATTTAAGGACGTTCTCAGGAACAGAACTTGTCCATAATCCAGGGACTACCTGTACAGCAGACCTCCAGATATAAAGTAATGTGTGTCACCCGCCAGATGTTTTGGGCTAGCACTTCCGTTATCCACAGCTAGCCCTTCTGAACATTAATATATGTCAGCCGCAGTGGTACTGAGAAATATCTCTATAGAAGTATAAATTAGATCAGATAGGAAATGCATGTCCTTCCCTGATGTTGTTGGCAAGAGATGATGATAGAGTTGAGAACACCTGAAAGGCCATGAAAGTCCCACCACTGAGCTTAGACAAGCAGGGACTGTAAATAAGACAGTTTTGTAGACACACCAAAGTGCAATAGTGCAGAAATGCATGCAAATATGTCTCCACTATGACTACTTTATCATTACATGAATGTTCTACCTGTAAGCAGTGTTGATTAAATCAACCCCCTTGCATAAATACGCTTTGCAATCTCTTTATTTCTGTAGGCTGGAGACAGTCTGGAAGAAGATGGGGCCTTTGGCTAAGCAGTTGTGCGACCTTAAGGGCTGGAATGTATTTTGCATTGAAGGAGAATGTCTGTTTGCCTCGGACTCGCCTGAAAGCCTGATTCCATGAGTGACTTAACAGTGTCCACTAGTTCTTCGCCTCTGAGCCAGAGGACCATGCAGTGTGACTGTCTCTTGCTCTTTGGGTGCCTAACAAGAACGGAAGATTTTGTTACCGAATGATGTTTGAGCCTAAAATACGGAGATATAGCAGCTAATTTAGAGTGGTGTTTTGACTTTTGGGTAAACTGAAAAGCATACCACCTCTTTTCTATGGTCCAAACATTTCTACTACGTATAGTACTTCTGAACTAAATGCTACCTGATGGCAAAAAAGCACAATCTGGGTGTGTTGGCAAGCTAATATATGCTTGGATTAGTGAAATGATAAATCATTGCATAGTATATCACCACAGGCTCCCAGATTTTTTTTTTAAAGTTCAACCTAAGAGCAAGATTATTGAAGCTTCCACCTTAATCCAAATTCTATAACTGCTGCAATGCACTTTACAAGTATGAAGATGTATTAAATGTTTGCACTAGCACTGTACCATATGGGGATTGCAGGTACTGGAGTCAATAAGTGCTCAGTTTGCTGTAAGGCACTAAAACCAGTTTTAGCATTATTTATAATACAGGTGCCAGCACTAGTACATGTGAATTCTAACAATGCATGAATGGCATTTTTAATGAACTTCAAGTATTTTGAGGAGTTGATAGTAGATGAAACTGAAACATAAGCTGAAAGAATTATAGGTCAAATACTTCCTGGAAATGTTGGCAATCCCTAAAAATAGGAATATATACTAAAGTGAGATACTGTGGGTTGGACACAGACTACATTAATGGGAATTCAGGTCCTCCTGAAATCAGTGGGACAAAATTACTCATGACTTGATTTAAATTCCAATTATTTCAATGGGAACCAAGTTAAACTAACTTGGTCTGGATCCAACCCTTTGCCTGTCTCCATCTAATGCTTTTCTTAAGTCTTTGAAGTCAAAAGTGTGAAAAGGTAATCCTGTGTATGTTCCTTGGGAACATGTTGGTGAACACACAAATGATTTTTGGATATCAAAAACACAGAACTGGATTAACTGACTTCATGACATTGAGTTTGGTGCTATACTTGACTGAAACAGTCTTAACTAGCTTGTGAATTGTTGTGATCTTATGTTTTTATAGCTGTAAAATGTTGACTTCAGTTTGTATACTGCAGCTACACACATGCTGTCTTGGAAAAGGTCTCTTGATGTTCATGCCAATGGAAGCCAGGTGCGACTTAATACCATTTAGATGAGTCCATTTATGAGTCCTAGTGGAAATGGGCAAGCCAACAGGAGGTGACCTTTAGTATCATGATTGCTTGAATGCTAACATAACAGCCTTGAGCTGAAGATAAATACAGTGCAGGAGTGGGGGGTTTTGGTGGGGGAGAGCAAGCAAGTTAAGAGATGCTAAAGGGCCATTGTGCCATATGACGTATTGAAGCATTTATTGCCTTGCTGAAATGGTAGCCTTGGTGGATTTTCCACCTTGCCCTCTTAAGCTGCTTCTCACCTACTTCTAGTTCAAATTAGTTCAAGCTTTCTGCTACTGTGCTAACTTGGTAACAAATTCTGCAGCTTGTGTTTCAAGCATGCAGTATCCCAAGTTCTTGAATGGGCATTTCTACCAACAAATACCAAAACTGTGAAACTGCTGAAAGCATTGATGCACAATCCCACCATTTCAAGCACTGGCTTATTAATTCAGGTCAGTTGCTTATTACCAAATGGGATTCGTTACAAATGACTTGCTTGTCCTTAATAATGAAAGTAGTATGCACAGAATAGCTGTAATAACTACAGATTTCTAAATCTAAACTCTTGTTTGTTGCAACCCAGCAAACCTTTGCTTCTACCTCATCACGGTCTATTCTTCAAAGGAAATGGATAGATGTTTCCTTAAACCATTTTTGGTTTGTGAGAGACCATACCGTTAGACCTTCCCAATGGGTCAATTACTTCTGTTGTGCCTTTGCCATCCTGGTGTAGATGGGGGAGAATGAGAATTCAAACAGTGTTCAATGTGAAGGAGGACATGCTAGATATGGTTATTAGAGGTGTTATGCCTTGTAAACTGCAAATGTATCTTTCAATAAAATATACTGAAAAGGAATTGGAGAATCTACTGACCTCATCGCTTGCATGTAGCTACCTTAAATGAAACACCCTTATAAGATACTCTGCTGGGATAAGGATTAAGAAATATCAGAGGGAATAGAAGTACTTTCAGATCTTTAATTGCTTTTGGGGCCATGATTTGATACAGAAGAGCAGAGTGGAAGTAAGAGAGGTTCTGTTACAGGTACAGCGGCACAGGTGTTTTTCCCAGTGCAGATAAAAGTACAGGGTGGTGGGGGCAGGGATGGGGGAGATCAAGTAAGAGACTGCCCGAGAGAGGCAGATTTAAGGAACCCATTTCTCCAGTTTGGCAAATGTATTTTTAAGATGGTAACAACTGAGGAGGTGATGTGTTCACATATAACAGGCATGGTATAAGTTAATTGTAGTTTGTCTGAGTTGTAGAATTATAGGGTGGTTCAAACAAGCCACAGTGAAAACTGCCCAGCGTGGCTTGCTGTTATGTCTGAACACAGCATTCATGGTGAATCATGGCATGTTTTTTGTTCATTGAACCACACAGAGAAACAATGGTAGGTTGTAAGGTTTCTGTGCTTCACCATAGCTTGATCTGCAGTCTGCTGCAATATTTCTGTGCCATTCTTGCCATAGAGCTTGGTAGCAAGAGCAGCAGCAGCAGATGCTCCGACCTGCATTTTCCTGTCCTTTTCTGCCTAGCAACTGCTGTGCCGGAACTTGTGCGTGCTGATTAGCTGCTTTGTGCTGCCGTTTTTCTTTGCGTGCATGCTCCCTTCCCTATGCCTAGCCGTAGCCTCTGAATCTCAGTGGAGCACCACCATGTTGCCCTTAGCTGTCCAGTTGCTGCACTTCACTGGAGCAGCACTTGGAAAAAGCTGTGGGTGTACTACTCGGGGAGCCCAGTGGTCTTACGAGATGTATACTGCGATGGGCATCACCATGAGGGTGATCACCCTGAAAGGCCCATGTCTTCTGCCCTCCCCCGCCCTGTCGTTGAGAGTCTTAGCAAAGTCGGGAACACGTGCTACCTTCCCCCAGAACTTATTTCTGGTGGCCAGCAAGAAAACTTGCCTGGGTTGGTGTCCAGGTGGGCACCCTTGGGGAAAGTCTGCCCAGCACGATGTTCTCCCTCCATCCCTGCCACAGGGGTCTGTGGTGAAGCCTCCGGTGCACCTGGCTGCAGGGCAGAGGTGACCCCTGGCAACATGTCAGGCTGATGCGTGTACAGTGACCCAACTCAAGGCAGCAGCACAAGTGCTGCTGTTGCTTTGTGAAGAATCGGCGGAGGCCACATCCAGGGGAGAGGCAGGCAGGAGTGGTGCACCCTGGGATTGGTTTTCAGCTGTGGGGGTCGATGGGATAGTGGCCACCCTTTGGAGGGAAGATGGAGAAGGATGGAAGCCTGTCTGAACCCAGGGCACAAGATGAACCCACCCGCAGAATGGTGGAGTTAGAAGAGGCCAGTATGGCCATTGGGTGTGACCATTTGCCCAGTGCAGGCCACCAAGTTAAAGCATTCTTTGCTGTGGTTCATTTCTGGTTTGTTTCCTGCCCAGTTTTGTACTCTTCAAGATAATATTTCCTGGCTGCTTTTGCAAGCCAGGAATGTTCATATATCATGTTAAGTCAAAATCTAAGCAAACCAAAGATCCCAGCCCATCAACGGCAATCCATGGCCTTTCTTTTTGGGCTGTTGCTTAACTTGCTATTGTTAGTGGGTATAGGCTCAGAAAATGATAGGCTTAAGTTAAAACAACATACCATGGCTTAGTGTTACATATGTAGTGTCTGACTTTGTACCAACTTGGATTTAATTCATCCATGGTACTGCATTTGATCCAAGGAACCCAGATAAACTCAGCTCTAGAGTGATGATAGTTTTCCACTATCTGTATCATTCCAGCACATTCTCCATCCCATACCTAATCCTTTCACTATGTTCTTATAGTTAAACAAGGAGTGGGGAGAATCTAGTTGAGTTTATTCCACCCACACAGGTACTCATGCTTCTAAAGCTCAGAGGAAAGGGGTTTAGAGTACTGTGTCTGAAAGGGAACAGTAGAGAAAAAAATAAGCTAATTACTGCAACCGACTACAGCGGTGTTCAAAGCAAAAGCATGCTGGTCTACATAAATAACAACTGTGCAGGCACCATGCCTAATTTAATGGCTCTCTACAATCAGGCATTCACACTTCTAATCTCACCACCTCCACATCTGCTCGATAATACAGTAAGGACCTCTGTTTCACTGCTTGAGACTTGTTCTGTGTTCAAGGATGACTGTTCTTACGCAGTTTAAGGGGCCTGCTCGGGGGTGGAAGATTGGCATAAAACCTGAATTCAGTCCAATAGTGCATTCTGTATCGAGCAATTTTTCAAGCCAGGAGTATGGAAACTCTCAGGGGCTACATTCCAGCAGCGACTGTGGCCACACCAAGGGGAGAAGAGCCAAAAACAAAACGGGTAAGATCAACCTAAAACTTCTCAGTAGCATTACTAGGCCTCAAGAAAGCCTTTTAGAACGGAAAGACAGACATGTGGGGCGGGAATGGAAACATTAAATTTACTGGCAGTCGGGGGAAGGGGTGGGGCTGAAAGGAAGGGGTTTGGCCATTGGGGTAGCCTATCTAGCCCCAGGCCTGAATATCTGCATGCCAGTTTTAAGAAGCAAGGGAAACTTGCGCAGTCTAAAGAGTGGTTGGGAGAACTGACATGTTTTCATGTCCCCGCCCAACTGCAAAGTTTCCACAGGTTTCAATTTCAGGTGTTACCTACAAGCAAATGACACAAGTTATTATTTTCTTAAAACAGTACACCACTGCTGTTTTAACTGACTTGGTTTTGTCTTCATCAGCCTTCTGGTTTATGGTTGGCATCTTGCTGCATTGTCAAAACAGCAAAATCTGCCAGAAGACATGGCTTCTACTCATCCCTGACTCCTATAAGGGTTTTGTATTTGCAGAAAAGGCTGGTGTCTTTTGTTTTGGTAGCCTAATAGCTTACTGATCCAACATTAAGAAATATCTCATTTTTTAGAGGAGCCTATTACTTAGCAACCAATAGATGACATAATGCTGTACAACTACTCAGTTACTATGCAGCTTGCATAGTAACAGAATTATGCAGCTTGCATAGTAACAGGATTAGATACTGTGCAACGTGCATAGTAACAGGATTAGATAAATGTGCACAGGATAGTCTTGAGTTGCTTCTGTGTGCTTCCAGAATTGGGCTGTTTCTGCTTCCAAATATGTATGAATGTCACACGTTCTTCCCAAGTGCCAACTCCTCCATTTTTAAGAGATAGGATGTTGTACCTCTGCTTAGAAATGTACAAGCTTTTCTCAGCACAGGCTCCTTTGCCTCATGTAAGCTTTGGGCTAATTCACAGAAACTAGCACATAGCCCATCATGGATATTTATGTGACATGCATGCGGCTGCCAGTTTGCATATTTACCCTGTTTAGGATTGTCTTGTCATGTCATGTGAACATAGGCTATGCAAGGGCTAACCAACTCACAACAACCCCTGAGCAAAGGTTAAATAGGCAATCTGGCATCCCTGACTGCTGCAGCTCATCATGAGTGAAATAACTCATAATGGACCACACTGAGTCATCTGCATTTGATCGTTGTACTTAAACATACACCTAAAACTAAATTTCTGGGGATCGCTTGTTTGAACTATTGGTTCACAATGCAGGTCCTGTACTGAGGCTATGAGGCATCCTCATAGCTGTGAGTTCTTCAGAGACTAAACACTGGTTCTGCACCACTTAAACATAGTATAAACCAGTGAAGTTGTTTAAGTGTAATACTATTTAATAACATGAAAATTACAACTTCACTTCTCATAGATAACTAAATGTGCCTAAACCTAGACAGCAATTACAGGCATTCTGCCCATGACTACAATTCAGTGCATTGTGTGCATATACAACTAAATAAAGCAGGATTTTGCTCAGCATCCTGTGGTATGATCAAGTTATAAATGGCTATTGCAAAGGAAGTACGTATTTTATATGAATAGAAGCTGTGGTATCTTGAAAGTCAAAATAATGCATACTTGATTGTGGGGCGGCTAGAGTTCAGAAAAACCACAGGACCAATTCCATGTGCCCATGGGGATTTTAAACCAGTATTTCTCAAGCACTCACACGGGAAGCTGCATAGTGAATTGCACTTGAAGCTGCTTCCCTAAGTACAGAAACAGCTTGTAGCCTAGGGATGATCTGCTGTTTTCACTCCTGTTACGCAAATCAGTGGTTTGACCAGAGTTTAGAATTCTGTGTACAGTTTTGGCCACACCTAAAAGTGTATTGCAGAGTTGGAAAAAGTAGAGAAGGGCAATTAAAATGATCAAAGGGCTAGTACATCTTCTCGATGAGGAAAGGTTACAGCAGCTAGGATTGTTTAGCTTAGGAAAACAGTGAGTGAGCAGAGACATGATAAAACTGCACAAAATTATGCATGGAGTGGGGAAAGCAGATAGGCATTTGTCTTCCTCTCTTATCATATTAGAACCTGAGGTCATAGCAGAAGGCCGACTGCCGGGGGAGTCAGGACAGATACAAAGAAGTACTTTACATAGTATGCAACTGCAGTACAGAATTTGCTTCCACAAGTTGTAGTTACGGTCACCGATCCGGATGGCTTTAAAGGAGGGCTGGGGAATTTATGGAGAAGGCTCTCGATGGCTACTGGCCCTCATGGCTATGCTGCCTCCTGAATCAGAGGCAGTATTCGTATGTGCACCAGTTGGGCAGGAGCAGCATGTTGCCTTCACATTCTACTTGCTGGCTTCTCCGAGCAGCCTGACTAAATGGACACTTAGTCTGGTGCAGCATGGCTCTTCTTATATTCAGAAGTCCAGCATCCCCAGGGAATGACAGACTTCTTTGAATCTACACCCCTCACCCCGCCACACGCCTTGCTTATGTGAGATAAATACAGGCATCTCAGTATGGACTGCATTGGAATACAGACCAAGAATATTCGCTATAGACTACATTGCCCAGGACAGCAGCTTCTGAACTGTTTTGATGCAAAGTTTGTTTTACACTGACATTTAGAACAAAATTATAGCAGGTAAATATTCCATCAGACTTCAGAAGTACTGGATTTAAAGGAATTTCTACATGAATCATATTGTGCTTGGGCTGACTAACTTGGTGTTTAATTTGTAGATACACCTTAACAGCACAGCAAATTTGTTTTCCATTATCTAACCTTCAAAACAATGTGCCTTTATGATTAAAAAGTTGATCTGAACATTATGAGGGTGTCATTGCAACATTCATTTTATTAACTTGTAACACTAGCAGTTTGCTGTTAAAAGCTGGAAATATGTAAGCAGTAGTATCCTCCATGTCACAAAGAATTACACAACTTGTGGTTTTACACAATGACTTATTTTGGGTACATCGAAGAGCAACTATATACCAGTACATCAAAGAGCAACTATATGGCTGATTTCACTTTTATGGATGGAAATGTGTTCTAAGTCTTGACAGAGTGCCATGATATAACTAGCACTGATTTGCATCTGTAAGCCAGGTGTTTGTTTCATTACTATGTTAAATAAAACAGCCTTTATTTTCTGGTTTGAAACTGTCCAGAACAAGCAGCATGTCATTCTGTGAATGACAGGCTCACAGGTGAATTCTTTGGCCACACTATATTCCTTCATAACTTCTCTTTCTCTCTTTTTTAGTTCATGAAACTAAACTGTAGTTGCCACATAACTATCTTTCAAGGCTAGAAAAGTCCGGCCCTCCTTTGCTGTAGTTCCCAGAAATGTCTGCTCCAGTGAAGTCAAATCCAGGATTCTGAAAAAAGAGATAATAAGATTAAATTGATACCTGTTGTAAGCTTTATCAGGTTAACTTTCAAGGTCAGTTAACCTTTTCCAAAAATAGTGGAGTACACATCATTCTGCCCTATGTCCTTTGGAGCAACTGAGACAAGGATATATTTTTATGCAACTTAGTTGTTTTCAAAAATTTAGCAGAAGCTATAAAGAATAATAGTGATCATGCACCCGCACAACAGAAATGGCTGTAGAACATCACTTCAGATAGTTTACCACAACCTATTGCAACTCTCAGCTTTCCCAGCTATGTTGGGAAAGGACACTAGGTTGGAGCAGGGTTACTTAACCGAAATATATTTCAATAATGGAAAAAATTTGAGGAGCAATCACAGACTATTGCTCTTTCCCTTCAAACATTTTCCACTCACTTCTATGCCTCATAAAAATTAATTATAAAAACAGATTGCTGCCTAGCAATACTTCTCAGACAGATGACTAACATTTTTGATGGAGAAGCTGCTCCATCTGAAAATACAGATCTGCAGTCACTCACAGCAGAATCCTAAGTATATCCCCTCAAAAGCAAATTCGGTTGAGTTCAGTGAGATTTAATCTGACATTAGTGTGGTACAGGACTGCAGCCTCAGTACAATGGAGGAGCTGCCCCTTTCCCCAATCTATATAAACCAAGAAATAAAACATTCAGTGAATCTATTAAATTTTCAGTAGTATAACTAGCTGATTTTTTTAAAGTTTGACATCAAAATGGATTATTTTTAACATCTCAAATATTAACCCTCACCCCAATGCTGCATTATACAGCTCAGGAGTCTTTGAAAAAGCTGTCTGCAATGCATGGGGAGGGAAACGTACTGCATGACAGGCTTCACCGGGTATCAAACACTTCGTCCTCATAATAGCCCCAGTACCAGTACTAACTTGACAGAAAGCAGTCCTCTTCGCATATTACTGCACACACACCAATTTCGAAGCACCACTCCAGGCAGGTACAGTGACCAGCCTGGAGCTCCAAGCACAAGGGGGCTTTAGACAGGTACTGGGGAGATGGATCATGCCCTCTGCATCAAGCACAGACCTCTAGAGATCTAAGCATTAGCCTGCTTTATGCAGAGAAATAGCACTGATTTGCCCACGGGAAAACCTATTCTCACGCATCTGCTTGCACATGGGGTTTTCGGCTGATCATATTAATGCATGTGATCAGCTGCATTAGACTGACATCTAATGGTGCCTAGCATTGGGGGGGGGGGGCAAAGCAAGGGGCACAACCCTGATCCCAAGTAGTCCTGTAATACCCCTCCATGTTTCTGTTCATTCTCCAAATGTCAAGACATTCGGTACATACCAGTTTTATTTTACAAAGCATATGTCCTAAGTCAGGGACACCAAGCCCAATGGCTGAATTCTATTTCACTGGTATTAGGAGGTAGATGTGAGAGAAAATGCAAACATTAGGAAGCCTGCAGGTGATCAGCAGCTGAGGCCAGGGAACCCCAAGGGGCTTGGAATGAGATACAAGAAGGTCCGGATTTGGCCTACAGGCCTGAAGCTCAATCCCCCTGTCCTAAACAGCAGTGCTGGTTAAACCTGGACACTCTGCTTTCTTAACACAGAGACACTCTGGTTTAAATACATAAGAGGGCAGCAAAAATAAATAATGTCCAAGGGCTTGCCTCTTTGTGGAATCTTTCTAATGTAAGCTTCTTCTGCATTTGGTCCTGGATCCAAAGATCTGCAACATACTCATTCTCCAGCAGAGAAGTCCAACAGTTTCTAGCATCTCGTTTGGTTTTAGTCAAGACGATTCGTATTAGTTTCTGGTCCTCTTTGCAAAGAAAGGAATAAGGAGAGAATTACATATGACACACAGAAAACAACTTGTTTTTCCAGTTTAAACCATATTTTGATCAGCAAGTGATATAAGTGTGTCTCTCTTACTCAGTTTTCCCCACATGGTGCCATCCAAATGTTATGGAAAGTTCCATCAGCCCAAGCTATGAGGACAAATGATCAGGAATAACAGGAGGTTTAGTACAAAAAACTACTTTGCCTGGTAATTTGTTTGTTTGTTTGTTCTTTCCATGCATGTGTAGATATTTAAAAAATCCCTAAGTGGTTTACATGGAAACATTAAAAGACAATACTGTATATGTAGATTACACTGAACAAAGTAACTTCCCTTTTGTGACTTGTTTTTGTTCTTTTCATATTCATCCTAACAGACTATACTTTGTACATTTAAATGGCTGATTATATCACTGAAAGATACCAACCGCAATTATGTGACAGCTCTGTTGTGTTGTCAAAGAGCTTGAGCTTTACTGTCACGTGAGCACACAGCCAAGAGATTGAAGCTGGCTGAAGCTCGCTGTTTGCCAAGTACAAACTCCTGGTTTTTGCAAAGACTGAACTTGTGAGCTCCGGAATATTTAATGAACTGGGAGTGGGGAAAGGAGAAGAGTTGCCTTCCTTAGCTTTGCCTATACATCATGTTTCACATGCTTGCACCTGCCATTTCTCTTATGAGTGGAAAGGCTTTGTTGATGATTGCAAGTTACAGAAAGATTCTTATGTCAAAAGGCATGTCTATATTGCCGCCACATGCTGACAATAGCTGGACCCAGTGCTTGTTGGAGCCTGGGTAGCTATAGCTGGTGACCACTATTTTAATTCCTCCTCGGTATTTCTGGGGGCATGAAATAGCCAAATCTGCTTGGAGACATGGGAAGCATGCACAGACCTCCTAGACTCTCTGAAAAAGAAAACTGGGAAGAAAAATGGGTTTGTTGAATTCAGCGGGAATTTTCCTTCCCATATCCTTTCAGGAAGATGTCAGTATGATTGTTATTAGTGAAACAAAAAGCTTGCTGATGAAAGAAAGATCAACAATGGAACCAAATTGCCTTAAGCATTCATTTAAATTTAGGTATTACCTAGTGTCCATGTTGCTTCATCAGCTATTGTAGAATCAAAGAGTTTGCCCTAAAAGACATAGTAACATTTTTGTAAGAGAAAATTGTCAACATAACCTAGATTTCAATAGCAAAAACTTTTGTTTACAAATTTTATACTTCTCAGAAACAGTGAATGATAAATATTACCTTGACAAATTAACTGTTTTAAAAAATATGAACTGTGTAATATCCCAGTTTTACCATTTGTTTTCATGCATTTGTACTTCATTTAAGCTTCCAAATTGCATGACTTTTAGATCCATAGGTAATGAATTATGTAATTTCATATTTATGCCCAATGAATACATAAACTTAATGGTGTACTTGGGCTTTGAAGGGTGATGCCTCAAAAGTTAAGGCAAGCAATAAGTCGCCAGAAGGCCATGAACATCATACGCATTTCTGAAATAACCACAAAAGAGAAGAGGCAGATTTTGCCAAGCTATGAAGCCAAAGTAAAAATAGAATCTCCAAGGTCTTCTTGGATTACAGAACTAATGCACGACCACCACAATCTTGAGTTAGCTTGTCAAACGACATACACCCAGAGAACCTGCATGTTTTCTGGCTACACTTAAGGTTGTTTTGTACTGGTGCAATTTCTGCAAAAATTTGTTCCTGAAAAGAATGCGAAATGCTAAAAAGGGGACAAGCGGCTGTTTTGCTCCATTTCGACGAGAACGAAGGGAGACGCCTTGCTGCGGGGCTTCTTCCCCGTCTACCCATGCAGAGAGACGCCTGCGCCCTGTGGCTGCCAAGCTGGGAACGTCGGTCTGGGCGCGGGTGCCCCGGACGCAGCGAGACTCGTTTCGGAGCGGACACGCAGAGGGCCGATCCTTCGCGCCCCCGCCCACCCGCCCTGTGCTCCCGCCGCCTGCCTACCTCGAGCACCTTCTTCCCCGCCACGGCCAGCGACAAGTGGCGGCTCTTCATGCTGCACTCGACCTCCCGCGCGCGGGTCCCCGCCGGCACGTTCACCTCGACGAAGACCTCCTCCAGGCTCTGGTACCAGCAGCCCCAGGGGGTGACGCAGGTCACCAGCGCGCTCCGCTCTTCGAACAGCCCCGCCATCCGCCCCGCGCGCGCCCGGCCACGGCCTCCCGCGGGCTCGCGCCAGGAGCACGCATGCGCTCTTCAGCGGCGCACATCCTCGCAGCTCCCCGCCCCGGAACTCGTCTTCGCCGTCGGCATGCCTGGAGCCGCCGCGGCCAGCCCCTTCCGCCCGCATTCCGCTAGGGCAGCCCATAGAGCTAGAATAGAGAGTGATCTATCTTTGCGGCTGGATCTCCCGTGTCATGCAAGTCCATCTGAACTTCGGGAAATTAGGTTTCTTAAAGATAATTGACACAGATGCCTGGTCAATGGTTTTTAAGCGAGTTGTTAACGTGAAATGCAGCTGTACTGTCTTACGAAACAGTTATCCTACTCAGGGAATTCAATCTGACAGTGTGTAGTTTCATAACGTAACACATGTTAAAGGCTTGCAAGAAAGTCGAAGGAAGGTACCTGTAACATGATCAACAAAAACAGTTGGCTGACTCAGGTTAAGAGGAGCATGCGTTCAAAAGCAAACCATCAAGCCACACTGAAGTGCCGTCGTTCATACAACCATATATAAGGAATGGGTTTTATTCAGAAATAACACAACACAGTGACAGTACGATCATATACGCATCTATAAGTAAGGCAGCCATGAGTAGGCTTGCGCTGTCGTTCATGTATGTTCTACCCCTCGTCCTCGTGTGCCCCCCGGCAGAATGAGTTGTTAAAAGGAGGCGTGAGGATCGTCCTTAAGCTCCATGCGTAGCTTCCACCTGGCGCAAGTTATCCAATATCGCGCCCTCCAGGCACCTCCTCATTCGCACTCGAAGTGCGCGCCCCTTCCGCGCTTGTGCGTCCCGCGTGCTCAAAGGCGAGCTTCCGATTGGCCGGCCTCGCCCGCCGACGAGCCGTCGGATTGGGCGCGCGTGAAAGGGGCGGGCGCGTCGGGAAAGTTTGAATTTGTCCCGTTCGTGCGGGGCAGCGAGTCATGTCGTTCCCGAAGGCGCCGCTCAAGCGCTTCAATGAGGCACTGAGTAAGTCGGCCGGGCAGGGGCGAGTGGCCCTCGCTCTGCGCGCTCCCCTCGCGTGGCTGCCCGGGTGCCTGGACCCGCAGCGCCCGTCCTCTCTCGCCATCGGCCGTCCTGGCCGGGACGGTGGGTGTTGCGGGCCTGAACAGCTGCCCAAGCCACAGCTGCCCGGCGCTGCCAGGAGGGCCCCTGGCCGTGTCCTCCGCTTGGCTGATGGGAAAATGGCATGAGAAGCCGTTGCCCTTGACCTCCGGGGCACCGGCGCGTCCTCTCGGCTCTTCGCGATGGTGGTATCTGCTATTCGGGCCTGCTCTGGGAGCGATTTTGCTCCCTGCTCCCTGATGCCTCTTCACGCCTATCCCCTCGGTCTCTGTTTGCCATTTAGTGGGCCATTTCTATCTCTTACCATGCATCCCTGTGCAAATTTAGACAGGAGCAGAAAAGCAGGCTGGGGGATACTGGGAATTGTAGGACCCCTTGCTACCTGAACATGCATAGGATTGCTCCTTTAGTCTCTTATCTGGGCAATTTATTAGAGTTGCTTTGCTGGAGTAAGCAAGGTACACCTAGACCCACTTTTCAGGGTCACATGTGGCAACACTACAGTGAAAACACTGGAAGAAGAAAGTAAGTGTCAATATTGTGAACATTATGGTAAGAATGCATTATCAGTAATGGAAAAGCATTTAACAGCAGGAGACTGTCGTTATCACCCTGCCCCCCCCAAAAAAAATACAGGGCACATACAGAAAGCTACTACAAAGAAATGGTACAATTCAGTATTTTGGGCATAGGAAAATTCCAGTTCTTCTTTCTCTGGAAAACTCACATCACTGGCTCTGATCTCTGTTTGTGTATGTTTCTCTATCTGGGATACATATGTGCACACAAAGTATCAATTATATTAACTAGTTCTTAGACCTTAGGACATACTCCATGGGAGTTATGCCACAAAATATTTATATTTTTAAGATGCCACAATATGGTGTTTCATTAAGCCTCACTTGCTGCGGATGCTCTATTGTTGAAGCCAAGTTGAACTGGAACAAGCCAAAGCAGTTTCTAGTGTAATTTGGCATGGCCTCAGTTTGCCTCACCCCACAGCATGTGGAGCACATTTTAACATTGTCCTGTTTCTAAGCAATCGATAAGCACCAGAACTCTGCTAGAAATCTTTCCAACACTGTCAGGTATTTGTTACTTTTTATGTATTAGTGTTCTTTCTAAAAACCTGAATCATTAAGAATCAGAATTCACTCTTATCCTTTTGCTAGTACAGTGGTACCTTGGCTCACGAACTTAATCCGTTCCATGATTCTGGTTGTGACCCAAATTGGTTGTGACCCAAGTCAAATTTCCCCATAAGGTTCAATGTAAATAAGGTTAATCCATTCTGTAACTACTTTTTTATCAGAAAAATTTGAAACAAAGTGACAAAGAACAACAAAGTAACAAAATACTGTACAGTTCAGTGGAGAACACTAACCCAGGTGGGGGGGAGGTTATTGTTTTGAGGGAGAGCCCCCCTCCATAAGGACATTGGGGAGATCTTTATCAGGGGTTCCCTCACTTCTTTTTCTCTTAGCTGCAGGGTCAATTTTGGTGAAAAGTCTGTCTAAAGTCACTTGTTTTTTGTATAGTCACTCAGGGGGGTGGGGTTGGGGAGATGGCCGTGATCGTGCTGGTGGGGAGATGGCTGAGATTGCACCCATCTTTCCTGCAGGAGCATGCCTGTGATCACATACGTCTTCCCTGCACAGACGCAACTGTGATCATGGCCATCTCCCCACTTGGGGGGTGAGGAGATGGCCATGATCCTGGCCGCCACCCAATGCAGAGTTCACAATCTAAGTCAAAATGTTCATGAAATTTTCATTCGCAACCCAATTTGGTCATGAACAAAGGTGTTCATGAGCCGAGGTATCACTGTACTGAATAGATAAATACCTTGTAGTACTGATTGAATCAGGTGCTCTTACTTTCTGATCCCTAGATGTGGCTGTTTCATCTGGACATTTGAAAATCTCTAAATTCTCTAAATTTCTGATTCAGTGGGAACATGAGATCCGAAATAAAGGAAATGACACACAGTGTAAAGGTTGTGTACAATATAAGGATTTATGAAGGCTTTGCTACAACTGAAATAGTGGGAAAACTTTTTAAAAAAAAGTTATTGGAATTAGGACTCTGACTTTGATTAATGTTCACCCACACCCACCCCTTCCAGCTTGTGCCCCCCCACCAGGCTCTTATGATATCCCACCTTCAGACCCTTCAAAAGGACATGTGTCCTTTGACAAGTCTCAGCGGTTCAGCATGCAGACAGGTAAGTAATCAAATCATAAATGGCTGTTGCATGGAAGTGCTTAATTGGGAGTTGCTTGCTGCCTGTGTGTCATCCTTTACATTAACAAACTTCTGATCTGTACTTTACTTTCATATGTTAAGAGGTTTCCTTCTTGTCCTTCATTGTCTTACTGACCACGTGCAATTTTTGGGTGTAAATATAGCCATCTTATTATGACTCCTCCTGACTTGGGCTGCAAGCCTATGTGTACTTAAAATGAAAACAAGTCCTCTTGAACAAAGTGGACTGTAATTCCAAGTAAGCACAAGGGACTGATCACAGAAATCAGCTGCTGTTAAAAATATCCTCAAAGTAGTTTTTAATGACCCTGTTTGAAGAGGCTTGAAACTGAAACTCCCAACGTCTGAACAAATTGGATTTGAATCAAGTGTTCAAAAACCTAATATATCTGAAACTCATAACTCTAAATTTCTACTGAACAAACTTAGATTCTATTGCAACTATGAATCAGTTAAGCTTGAATGACTAAAACAAGTCTATCGAAGTCTTTTTGTGATGTTCATGAATGTCTTAATGGATTGTTTTTCCTAATTTAAACATTAACGTGCATTAGCCAAAAGTCATTACAACTCCTTAGTCTGCAGAAAGTAGATATGGAAGTAAAATACATTGAAAAGGACCAGAACTATATCTATGCTGCTGTTCCTTTGGGAGATTATTCTCTGTCATCACCTTAGTTCTGTGTTTTTCATTAGATTTAGTGTAATGTTCTCTTATGTATGCTGTGCCTGGTCTTTATCTGAGACAAGATAACACACTTTTTGGCTTCTATAAGGTGGGCTAATCTAGCCGTAATATTATAAATAAAGTCTGTATTATATTATTATATGATATTATATGTCAAATGCAAAATGTGCCATGTTGTCTATTTCATTTTGTCCACAAAGATCAAGGTACTCACCCCACAGAGTATGCCTATATATTCTATCTATGTATGCTGAATAAATAAATTGGAAATGTACTCTGGTGAAAGTATTTTCTCGCACAATTAAATCCTAAATCGCTTACTCTGGTTCCTTCATAGGAGATGCAGGAGGTCAGCAGAATCCAAACAGCACGAAGCCACCTTCCCCACCAACTGGAAGAAAATTCCAGTCTCTCGGCCCAAGGGTAGGATTGATGTTATGCTTATTCACTGTCTTTTCTGAGTATTTTGTTTTCATTTAAAAAAACAATTCTAAGTTGGGTAAAATATAAATAAAATATTTTGCTTAAACTATTTTGTACCATGATTAAAAATAATAAATGACACCTAAATATTGACTATTCATCACTATGTAAACCTGGGAAGGCAAAATTTGGCACAACACTATATGACTAACAATGCAAAGCTATGCAAGCCAACTAAGAATCAGTTACTGAATTCAACAGGACATATTCCCAGGTAAATGAGTACAAGATTGTAGCCTCAGTTGCAGTTATATGAGTAGGAAAAATATCCTGGATCTCCAACAGTTAATGTGATTACAGTGAATGGTCTATTTAAATCTTGCAGAATTATTCTTTAGTGAGTTTTTGCCAAACCTTACACTGCGGTGAGATTTAGATATTCATGAGCATCTATGTTGATTAGTTTCCACTGTTTGTCATTCTTCTGCCAGAAAAGCTGCATTTGTATGCCTTTAAACGCTGCCCATAAAATGTGCCTTAAAAAAAATCTTCTGTTCATAGCTGTTGGCAATCTTGCGAAGCAGACTTCAAATGTTTTAATCTTGTTTCTGTACCTCTTGTATTTGAAGTCAAACAGTTTTGGAACGAAGTCTAAAGAAGATCAGGCTATCGTAAAAGGCTTGAGAAAACAAAAGGAGTTAGAAAAAGAGGTACGAGCATGACCATTTTTTAAGTGGCTTGTAAACTCCAAAATTTAATTCTGTTAGAATAACTGAAAAAAATGATCTTCAACTTTTGTCTGTCAGTTCTAAAACCTGTTGAAATATATTCTCAATTGATGGAAACCCATTATTTGATTTTTCATTAGATATTAGACAGTAAATTTAAGGAAAAGTCATGACTATAAGTCCTTGTAGTATTAGTGCAAGAATTGTCGATGTGTTCTAGTGCAGCTTTCTCCAACCTTGTACCCTCCAGGTTTTTGGGACTTCAACACCTATCAGCCTTCACAACTTGGCTAATGGTAAGGAATACTTGGACCTGAAGTCCAGAACATTTGGAGAGGAACAAGTTGGGGAAGTTCTAGTGCTTTTATTTGTTTTTTGTAAACTTCTTTGAAATCATTGATGATGAAAGGTGGTATATAAATGTTTATTTATTTGTATAAATATAAATGGTATATAAATGTTAGGAATAAAGAAACAATTCCTCCTTTTAGTGTTTAATGAGAAATAGTTAATTCAACTGTTTTGTTTACAGTGGGAGCATAGTGCCATGCACATTTGACTAATAATGGAACGATCATGTGGACCTACCTTCTGTAATCACTTTCAGTTAATTTATGCACTTTTTTAAAGATTCGGGTACTAATTGGAGAACGAGGTCAGCAGGATAAAAAGTTGCAAAGTCTTGAGAAAGATCTGGCAAAATCTGAATCAAAACTGTCCGCTGTCATTCGTGAGAAAACCTCTCTTTTGGCAAATGTTGCTTCCCTGGAAAAGCAGCTTCTGGAGTTGAGTAAGACCAATGAATTGCTCAAAACAAAGGTACATGTAATTGTGGTTTTATATCCACATCATATGACTTCTTGTCCTCCATTCTGGCAGCAAAGCTTTGTGCCTGAAGGGTTAGAGGGCTTGTAGATGGCATCAAGGCACAACTATACACGATTAAGGAAATAAATAAATAAATAGGCTAATTGAATCTTCTAGTTCATAGATTATGTATTTTTCCAAGTTTCCTGTTGAACCTACTGTCCACTGAGTGATTGGTTATGATAATATCTTGGTTCTATCAAATAAACATGTAACAACTGGGCTGTATGTGGCATATCTACTTTTAAACACTAAGTTTAAAATTGTGGAATTTTTGCACAATTTCAGGTATTATCCTGGTAGACACCCACTTTATTTATTTATTTATTTATTTATTTATTTATTTATTTATTTAGGGGACTTCTATGCCGCCCCATTCGCCGAAGCCTCGGGGCGGCTCACAACCATAAATAAATAGAATTCAATAAAATAATATAAATTAACAATATAAATTAAGTCGCCCTGGCCAAAGAATAAAATGAATAAATAATATTAACAATTAAAATAACATTTGAATAAAAAGGTCTTTGCCTGGCACCGAAAAACAAATAACGATGGCGCCAGGTGGACCTCTCTGGGGAGCGCATTCCATAGATTGGGTGCCACCACAGAGAAAGCCCTCCTCCGGGTACTTACCCTCCTAATTTCCTTCACAGAGGGTTCCCGGAGAAGGGCCTCTCCCGCTGATCTCAAGGGGTGGGCGGGCATATATGGACGTAAGCACTCCTTCAGGTAACCAGGACCCAAGCCGTTAAGGGCTTTATAGATCATCACCAACACCTTGAATTGGGCCCGGACTTCAATGGGAAGCCAGTGAAGCTGACGGAGGACTGGAGTCATGTGAACATAACGCCCAGTCCCCATCAGCAGCCTGGCAGCTCTATTTTGAACCAATTGAAGTATCCGGACCATCTTCAAGGGCAGCCCCACGTAGAGCGCATTACAGAAGTCAAGTCGGGAAGTCACCAACGCGTGTGTCACTGTCGCCAGGCAGTCGTTCTCCAGGTAGGGGTGCAGCTGATGGATCAGCCGAAGCTGAAAGAAAGTGCTCCTCGACCCAGAGCTTTCACTGGAAGCTCAGGTGACAGCGGTGGCGAGGAGCACTCCCAAGTTGCGGACCTTGTCCCTAAGAGGGAGTGCAACCCCATTCAGGACTAGGTTCAATTCACCCTCCCCGAAGCCCAATCCGCCAACCAACAGGACCTCCGTCTTGTCTGGATTGAGCTTCAGTTTATTGGCCCTCATCCAGTCCATTACCTCGGCCAGGCACTTTAAACATTAAATGGCAGACAGATATGCATAGAAGCTGTTATACATTAAGAGTGCTTTTAAATTTCATTGATTTCCACTGGAGAGAGTTAAACACATGCTTAAGGATGTGTCCTATATGCATTGTTTGGGGGTAGGTCTCATCAAATGCTGTGGGGACATCTAATTAGAGGTAACTCTTTCATTGAAATAAAGATATCTTTGGCTAGCTTGTTCTTCACTGTGGACTCTCTGGGTGCCTTCTGAAGATGACTTGAACAGATACAAATTTGAAACAACCCTTTATCTCTCTCCCCTCACTCTCTTTTCTAATAAGTGTTTTGAAGATGGCCCACAGATGATGAGCAGTCTATATGCGGAGTTAATGAAACTCAGGAAACAGATGAATGCAAAGAAGGTAAGTTAGCATAAATGCGGTCAGTGGCTGCCACACTGTAAGAAGTGTTCGGTTTGACCGATGGTGTGAGTTGACATGCTAAAACCACAGTTTTTCCTTAGGAATCCCTCAGTAAGGTAGGCTTTTAAACAAATTTAACTGATCCTGGATGGGTCACAGGCATTTCTTGCTCCTTGATTATGTTTTGTTGTGACATTTCTCCCTAGCTAAATGAAGCTTGCATGATTTGGCCATGTTTTACATTTTGATATAAATTTAGAAGATGAATATGCACTGTTCTGAAACCCAAATAGGTTGAAGGATAGCATTCAAATGTTTTAAATAGAATATGTACTAATGTTTTCTGTAATGCCTTTCTGGGTGTTTTTAGGTTGCTCTTATAAAGAAGGAAAATATGCACAGTAAACCAAACACAGTCCCAAGAACACTGGATCATTCAAAAGAGAAAGTACCACAGCTGGAAGAACAATTGTAAGCCAAAGCATGAGCTGTCTAGTATCAAGCTTTCTTAGTAACTTTGCTGTAATGTAGTTGGGGTAACAGTTTGCAAATGTGAGCACATCTTGGAAGGTAAGAGAGGGGAATTAGGGGGTGTCTCCTAATTCATGGGTAGACAGTGCAGTGCTTTCAGATAGTTTGGACTACAAGCCTCTAAGCCCCAACTAGTTGACCAATAGTCAGGGATTATGGGAGTTGTAGGTGAAAAGTATCTGGAAAGGACCAGGTTATCTACACCTGTGGATGATCAAAGAGAATTCAATAGGTCTCTATTTTTCAGGTTACCCAGTCATCTTCTCTTAGTAATGTGTTATAATATAATCTCCCAGGAAAGCCTATTTCTCAAATGATTTTTTCAGCTACCTCCATTTTTAAAATAGTATGTATTGACTGGAGATTTGACAATAAGAACTGCAAACTCCATACAGGAGAATTCTTAGCTGAGATGAGAAGCTGGAATATAACTGATTTGTATATATAGTCACTTGGCAAACATTTCATGTTGAGTCTTACAGCCTAGCCTCCCAGCTCACTAAAATGTATTTCTGTTCAAAATTAACAAGTTCCAGTGTACCCAAATCTTTAGGTCAGTTGTGGAGAGAGGAGGGAACATGATCCATCTACTTGGTGCTCCTCTCTTACGCCACTCTTCAGCCTCCTTAAGGAGAGCCAAAGCCAATAAGAGCTGGACAGGGACCGCTGAATTGATATCATGCCGCATTGATCAGCAGGCTGTTGAAAAGCATAGTGCGGTTACAGAACCCAGGTCCTCACACAGTGAGAATGAGCCCTTCTGGCTCTCACTTGAATGTAATGAGGCAGGCATCTGTTTCATTTAGTTTCCTTTTGTTGCTTGCCATGGCGATAACAAGAGCAGCTTCGGACAGCTGAACAAAAATAAGTGTCTAGGTTTGTTCTCTTTGATATGGCATTGTATAACAATCAGATACTCACTAAGCAGTGAGTAAATCAGAATGATACCTTTATGGACAAAATTGATTATGCATTACTTTGCTAAAAGTTTGTGTGGGCCAAGGTTTGAGTTTGTCGTCGTCGTCGTCGTCATCATCAACATCATCATCATCAGATGCAGTGGTCATGTTACTAACAGTACTGATATTTTCCAACCTTGTAACATGTTACTGGACTTGGACAATTGTATCAAGATGTATTTATATGTTGTAACATGCATTTATTTTTAAAAGATACCCATATTCATGAACTCTTCCGAAAAGTGAGATGTGACAGATGGGAAGATTTCCCTGTAATTTTTGCATCTTGGTTAAGCAGAGGCTGCTCAGCAGGTTGGAAACTTGTGGGACAGGTGGGGGAGCTAACACTTAAGATACAAGATTGTGGTAGCTATTCAAACCTTTTAACACTCCTGTAAGGCAAACTGATGTGCGCTGAAGCTTGTCAAAAACCAAATAAACTGGATTTCCTTGTATGCTAGAGCAGATTGTCCCTTCTTGAGGTTCCTACTCAACAGTGTTCATGCAATATTCATTTCTTAAATTTATACCTGATTATGTGCATTTTTTGTCTATGTGCAACATATTGTAGGCAACGGGATAACTGAATCCAACCTTCTTTTCTGGCCAACTTGACACTTAAAAATATTTCTGAAAACTTTCCCCAAGACTAATACTATGTTCTCTCAATCTTTCTTTTAGAATAGCAACTGAGGTGCACGCTGAAGAGAAATGTGACTCAGAAAATCTCTTGGAATATATTGCAGAACTTGGGTTAGTGTCCATAGAACTCTAATTAGGTAGCACTGAGACAAACCACTGTCTGGTCAAAATCTTGGATCTGAGGAGTGCATCTGGGTAGGATGGTTTATCAATCACACTACATAGTTTCATACACAATATGCCTTACTGTGTTCTGCGAATCCTCCCACTGGAATGTTAAGCTTGGATATTTGCTGGCTGTTTCCTCCTCAGTGAATTTTATGCTCAAAATTCATTAGTAGCAGGTTTTTAAAACAAACTGCAAAACCACATAGACATCCTAGGTGAAGAACAAGACTGAGTGGGAAATTCTTGGGAAAGCTGCATGTGTTCATTCCTGCATTGTTTGAAACATTTTGCATGAGTTTATGGCAGCTGCTATTTCTGGTCTGCCTATCCTACCTGAAGATCTATGGTAGACATGTACTGGGAGTAGTTTACCAAATATAATCTTGAGCTCTAACTGGAAGTGAAAAAGGCTAGGCTTGTTTTATAGGGAAGCTGTTGTGATCTGCTTATTGCTTGTGGCCATAGATTACTACTTTACTGGTGGTGATGCCAGGAATAAGGGCTGCTTCAACGCTTTGGAAAGCTAACAGAAGTTAATGAAATGTACAGCCTAAGCAAACCTATCATAAACTACAGTGACAAAGATGGTGTCTGTTTCTGCCCAACAGCCTTGTTGCAGAACAAGTTGAAGATAAATACAAGCAGGAAGTTGCCCAATTAGAGGAAATAATAGAAGCCAAGAATAAAGACATTGAAACATTGCAAACTACTCTTCAACAGAAAGAATCAATGCTGTCAACACAAATTGAAGAGCTGTGGGAGAAGTGCCAGATGTGTAAGCAGCAAAAAGGTGATTGAAAGTATTATGTGCTTTGGCCAAATATGCTTTTTTTTCAAAATAGATATCACTTGGTTTTACTTCCTTCTGTTAACCTTTAAAATATAGCTGATCTCTGCTAAGGTGTATTCCTTTCTCTCCTGTAACACATAAAATACTGTTTGCCTGCATACTTCAAAGACTAGTCTGCCAAGTGAAACCTCTCCCATTTGTATAGGGACAAAAATGCTATACTGACATACTGTTTTGTTTTTTTAATAATTATATTTGGCTTATGAACATTACTGTGTGTTAGGTCATTTTCAATTCAAGGAAGCAGAAAGTCATCAAAGCAGCAACCCCCCTGACAAAAAGTAACAAAAAGCTCCCAAAGAAATAATTTGTTCTTTAAATTGTTATTGCAGAAAACAAATGAAGTGCTGAAGTGGAGTAATTTGAGGTGGAATTTGAATATATTTTCTATGTGAGTTAGAATAAGGTATTTTTGTTATGGAATGACTTGTGGCTGGAATAAAAGCAGTCAAATGGCTTGTTAAATGTGCCTTCTTTCCAAGACAGAGACAATCCAGGTTCCTAGGAAGGTGGCTATGAAAATGTCAGAGAAGAATGTTTGGTATTTAAAGTACTATGTATGACACTATGTATGTATATTTTAGAGAAATGTTGCATTGAATATGGAGAAAAGAAACAAACTCTAAATGCTGAAATAAAAAGCCTGAAAGAGAAACTGAATCTAGAAGAACAGGAACACCAAAAGCAGAAGGAAGCCTGGAAGGTGAATGAAATAGTACAGATTCGCTATTTTAGCTATTTGTATCAAAGAATGAAAGAGTGTCAATGAATGTGCTACAGATCTTGGTCATTTTGCTTTCAAACTTCCTAATCTATTCCATTCTTGACAGCTATAGCAAAGGAGACATGATTTGGGGTTGACCTCTTCAATCTTCCTCAAATAACTCAGGATACATTAAATCTGGCTGAAGCAAGAACCTTATGCACCTACTACAGAGTAATTTGGGGGCTTACTTCTGAGTAAATATGTATAGAATTGTTAACTAATGTTTATTTCATTAGGAATAACCTTTGAACTATAATGTATCTTAAACAAAATCTATCTTTAGATAGATTTTTCTTCAAAAGCATTTTATTTTAAAAAATCCAATTTAAATTTAAAAATCTGATTTAAATTGGTTTTTTTAAAAAGCACTTTTTCAAAAATTAATTATTTTTTTTAAATTGCCACCCTGGAAATTAGGGTTTCAAAATGTCATCAAAATAGTTTCCAAAATTTCACCCATGTCTAAAACTTTTAAAGTTTTAAAATGCTTGGATGCAGCTCTGGACAGAGAACCAGTGTGATCTTGCAGTTAAGTCTTTACTATCCTTTGCTTGTGCAACTGAATAAGTTATTCATGAGTGAAAGATAACCTAGCAGATGATTATGGTTATTTGCTTTATTTATTTATTGCTAATGGTTGTTGTTTTTGATACTACTTCAGGAGGCCTTTGCTTCTGAGCATCAGAAGCTGCTTGAATTCCAAGAAGAGATGACAGAAGAAAGAGAAATTCTGCGCAGAGAACTGAAAGAAACCATGGATGAGTTGGAGAGACTGCACACCAAAGAAAGCAAAGTTGATGAACTGCTGAAGCGCTTGGAACAAGAGAATGAATCCCAAGCTGAGGAGCTAGCATGGCTGGAAGAAAAACTGAAAGGGTTTGTGCACGCCCCCCCACCCTGCATGGCAGCATCCAGCTGTGCCCTGTAGCGCACCTTCTGTGGTTCTTAAATGGAGAGCAGCACTTGAGCTGATGCTTGAAGGCCCTGCCATTCAGCAACTTAGTATTTCTTTCAGTTCTATCAGTAATTTTGGGGATTCTTAGAACTTATATTACTTCACTTCTAATGTTACTTTTTCCATATAGGAAAAGTGCAGAGTTGGAGAAAATGGCTGAATTACACAGCAGTGATATTGTGAAGATGCAAGGAGAGCACAGCATTACCCAGTGTAAACTAAAAGAGACCACTGCTGAGTTTGAAACGTATGTAAGACTTTGAGTACAAAACAGTTGACTCAGTTTCCGTTTCTATGTGACTGTTACACATCAGAATCTCCCCCTTTCTGAAACTCTTTATTTATAGCATATTTATTGATCTGCATCTAAACAGATTCCAGAGCAATGAATGATAAGAAAAAGAAAACACTATGGTAAAACAAGCTATCAGTAAAAAAGAATAGCTGGTCAACAGATAAATGGTTCCAGAAATAAATAGGTTTCTCAGAGGCACTGGAAACAGCAGAAGGCAGGGAGTTCCAGAGGAATGAAGCCACAGAGTGAAGGCTTTTCTCCAGCTGAACTCCAGTCAGGCTGTGAGTCCATGCAAAAGCACATGCCATCTGATGTTCCCATCTGATGTTCTCAGTGATTGGGCAGTTTGAGAAGGGAGAAGATGCTCTTTAAAGCTACCTAGTCCCAGTTGCTTGGGCTTTGTAAACTAGTCACAAAGCCTGAAACAGCCTGGCAGCAAATAGGCAGCCAGTGTAGTTCCGTCAGCCAAGGAAATGTGTGGTGAAAAGGGACAGCTCCTGATGTCAGCTGAGTTGTTTCATTCTGTACTAGCTCCAACATCAGGGCCATTAATTAATTTTTTTGAAAAATATTAAAATTTATAAAAATGAGTTACAATGCCACTAAATACAATTAAAATCATATTATAATGTAACAAAAAGTGAATCCCACCACCAGGACCATTAGATACATTCTAAATCATTTGCTTTTCAATAGACTCCATCCCCCTTCTAAAAGCGCGATAAATCCTGGGATGGTTCAAATCCTTTCCCTTTTATTGGCACATACGCAATAAATGGTCCCTCAATTGCTTCAAAATTATTATTTTCTATATAACCTTTTTCATTTTAATATCACAAGTTAATTTATCATTAATAGCCATATTACAAACTTCTTTTGTTTATCTCTTTTCTCCAATTGTTTTATCTCCCTTTCCAGATTTTCCACATGTTTAATTCTCTCTTTTTAAATTATATGCCACCTCAATACTCCCCTTGCAACTGCTTTCATTGTGTCTCAAACTAGACCTTTATCACTGCTTTCTCTATCATTAATTTCCCAAATTTCTTTCTTTTGGGGCCAACCTTAAGGGCAGCCTCACATTTAGTACAGTGCACTAATCCAGTCTTGAGATTACAAGTGCCTGTACAGCTGTGGCCAGCCTCACCTTATCCAGGGTAGGCCATAATTGGCAAACCACTCAAAAATGGTAATAGGCATTCTAACCCACCATGGCCACTTGGGAGTCCAGTGACAGTGATGGCTCTATGGTTATTCCAAGACTAGGAGATGGAGTGCAACCCTATCCAGAACAGCAGGAAGTCTACTTCCTAGATTTGGAACCCACTTACCCACAATTTCCATCTTGTTCAGGTTCAGCTTCAGTTGATAACTGAATCTAGGCATTGATCTAGGACTTGCACAAACTCATCTGATTCAGATATTACACAGCTCTGTCTCTCTGTGTTATCAGCATATAAATTGTGCTTGGCTCCAAATCCTCTAAAAGCCACTCCTGGTGGTTATATATTGACATTGAACAACATTGGGGACAAGGTGGTACTTGGGTAACCCTATAGCTTAGTTGCCAAGGAACAGTCATCCAATCAATCCCTCAGGTAAATCCAGAACAACTACAGCATCGTGCTTTCATTGTCCAGCCCATGGACTGGATTGAGCAGAATAGCATGGTCAATGGTATCAAAAGCTGTTCAGAGATGGAGCATAATTAACAGGGTTTTATTCTCCCTGCTCTTCTGCTGATATAGATAATCCATTATGGTAACCAAGGCAGTTTCAGCTCCTTAACCAGGTCAAAACCCAATCTGGAATGGATCTAGATAAACAGTATCTTTCAGGAGTGCCTGAAATTGCTGTATCACAACCCTCAGGTACTTCCCCAAAAAAGGAGTATCTGGGTTGGGCACCAGTCATCAAGAACAGTGGATTCAGGTGTGGTCACACCACTACCTCTTTGAGGATAGCAGGGACTACCCTTTCATGCTGCAATGTATTTATTACTCCATGGATCCTCCGTGTTATACCCTTTCAGCTAACTTTTATTAGTTGGGGGTAGGGGATTGGCAAGGAACAAGAGGACACTTCATTGATGACATTGCTGCCAACACCTTGTCCACATCATTGGGCAGCAGCAACTGAAGTTGACTCAGATAGTTGTGCAGATGGTGACATCAGACACTTCAGCTGGAATGTCAGTAATTATTGCAGCAAGTTCACCATGAAGACACGTTATTTTGACCTCAAAATGCAGTGCAAAAATCACAGTAGGCCCTTGAGGGAACCAGAACCTCATTTACTTGTGAGAATGCTAACTCAGAAAAGTTCCGGTGGACAGCTAGCTACTCAAGGATGCAAGCTTTCTTTGCTGCCTGCACTACAATGCAATAAGCCCAATTATGTGCTCTAGAGCATGCTCAGTCATCTTCAGTTAAAATCTTGTATCTTTGGTGCTGTAGCTGAGGTCTAGCTTCTTTCATTAACTAGCTCCCCAGAATGTTGAGGAGCAGGGTAGTCTCCAGAGCACCAAAAAAGGCATTTAGGTGGCCTTCCACATCAAACTGTTCCACAGTGAGAGTAGGGCTTCAGCTGGATTGCCAGCTCAACCCCCTGGAAATTTCCTAAGAGCATCTAGAAAGCCACTGGATTCCATTATATGGTCTCATGGAACAGACCATATAATTGTGTCTCCCACCCCTGCAGAAGGGAAGCAATACATTGAGCTCAAATATTACATATGGATGATGCTTAAAGTTTCATCAAGACTAACCGCAGCACATCCATCTTGTGTTGATGTTTGGTTGCTCTGAGTAGGATTTGGTCTCTGAAGTTCCTTTGGGAAAAAGGTTTAGTTAATGACAGATAGCTGCACGATCCTTCCACCAAGATTTTCCCAAGCTGGTGTCCTCCAGATGATTTGGGCTACGACTCCCAGACAGTGGCTATGTTAATTGGGAATTATGGGAATATCTGGAGACCAACAGCTTGAGAAAGAAAATTGTTGATCTGCAGTCTCTCCTGGCTTCTGATAGTTAATGCCATCCTGGCTTCATTTTCAAAGGAGAGGCAATAGAAAGAACTTCTGATAAGCCTGAGATCTGATAAGCCTGTTGCGTTTCCTTGAGCAAGTCTGCCATTCTTTGATGTCTGTAGTCCTTTATGGCACATGTGAAAGTAAGACACTGAAATCTTTGAAGCAGTTCTAACCCAGCTCCCATGCATAGCAGTATGTATTGAATTCCATCTGTTCAGCGCTGTTTTGCCATGCTGTTTAACTCATCTATATTTTGAGGATACAAATTCTTCCAAGGTGGGTTACAAACAAATATGTTAATTAAGTCACAATGATACAGTATCAAAAGAGAAGTTGTTAAGTTGATCCCCACAGTGCAGTTGGTGTCTGTCTGTCTTTGCCTTCTGCCTCTCTCACTGACCTGGTTCAGTGTTGCTTTGCTTGCATTTTCAATAAGACTGCTGTGGGGCACTATATGGCCAACTGCTGCTTCGCCTTACATTTTAGCATTACCACCTAATCTCTTTCTTGCGGAAGTGAGGGAGGGAACTAAATAGAGAGCTGCCCAGGATACCAGCCTTCCATTTCTCCCCTTTATATAGGGGATGGGGTCAGAAAATAGAAGGGATGAATCATTGAAGACCATGAAGATAGGAGTTCCGCTTGCATCTGATTGTAACACTCTTACAATGATTATCACTCACTTCTAACCTGGCAGAACTCCAAAATGCCCCTCTTGACTTACGTAAGTGTGTTATAAAGCATTCATAGCTCTGACTTGGCCAGGAAATGCAGCAACATAAACTGAAATGAATGAAGTTGAGTGGGAGTGGAGACAAAGTCCAAATCAAGTCCAACAGAAATGCTTCTCTCCTTAGTTACAAAGTTTGTGTAGGGGAAGAAATTGCATGCCTCAGGCGAGAGAAGACTACCCTCCAGGACAAACTACTCGAGATGAGCAAAACAACTGAACACATGACTGAGGTGATGCAAGGAGTACAGCAGGCTAAAGAAAAGGCCAAAGAAGACCGTGCAAGGTACTGACAGTGCTGGGAAGGACCTCCTGGTAGACTTGATAATAACTGTCCATGGTGCTGCTTGGTTATATTCTTATGTTTTTGCTGAGACTTTTGACTAGATTTACAGCTAAGTTATGCTTTCACCACTGAACGTAATTCTAACTGCTAATGCCACCCATCCCGCAAAGTGTACTTTGAAATTCATTTGAATCTACTTAGCCAAAACAAGTTACTTGTTCAGTTACAAACAACTCGATGAGCGGTCGTGTCTCTTGATAGAACCAAGATAGGTAAAATTTGCCTCCCTTCATGTTGTCTCTTGCAGTATATACATTGTATATATTAGAGGTATCCTATTGACTAGGGGTCTGTGGGGAGGGTCAGTCTTTCCTCAGTATTTGAGTACAATTGCATATGCAGGGAACAATCTATTCATGTTTAAAAAGAAAAAAAACCTTCCAGCTTCCTTTCAGCTGTAGGAATTTTTTCTGTCTCACCAATCATAGCTTTGTACCAATAGCTACTTTTTGTTCTGAGCAACTTGCCCAGTACATACAGTGCACTTTTTTTCAGTTTAGATGTTGCCAATATCTCCCTGTACTTCAAATTAGAGAAGAACTTTTTACTCTCCCACACTTTTAGGATGCTCCTGGATGCTGAGGCAAAAATAGCTTTAAAAAATGAAGAAATAAAAAGGATCAAGGATTCAAGTGCTGTACAGGTTGCTAATCTTCAAGCAAAACTAGAAGAACAAAGTAAATACTTAACCAAGCAACTTGAGATGGAAAGGTGAATGTTGCTAGTTTTCCACTGGGGCACAAGGTCAAAATATCTGGAAGCAGAAATGAATTGTCTTTAGCTGACACGATCCATCACAATAATTATAGATTTTAGGAAGATTAAATTTAATTCTTTCCTCTGTTTTCTTTCATTTTAGGAAAACTATTGCAGAAAAAGTAGAATCAGATTACAGAGAGCAGATAGAAACTTGGCATGCCCTATATGAAGAGCTGTATAATAAAGTAAAACCATTTCAGGTGAGATTATGTTTAGCATTTAGGTAGTATGCATGTTTTTAAACACCAGAATAAAGCTGGAGTGTTGGCTCTTTTCTCCAAATAAATTGCTTTAATACTATTAACATCCTGAATACAGGTTGGATGGTTCGTATATTAAATTGGTTATCTCTTAAATACAGAGTTGTTTCCCCAGTGACAGAAAGTACATTGATCCAGTGGAGGCATAAGTCAGTGAAATAAGGAGGTAGACAATTTCTTACAGCTTTCCCTCTTCTGTACCTCTCCTAAACCTTCTCCATGGGTAGAGAACTCTTCCAAACTACCTGGGAGCTGGTGTGGAGAAGAGGGGAAATAGCCCCCTCCATTTCACTGAGCTAAGCCTCTCTTGCACCAAAGAGCCTTCTATCAGCAGGCACTACTTGGATAAACCTCAGAGCATTTGAAAAACACTGCGAGCTGTAGTTCATCACATGTTATATGTTTCAGAAACAACTTGATGCTTATGAGGCTGAAAAGAATGCCCTTCTGAATGAACAAGGTGTAGCCCAAGAAGAACTGAACAAAATTAGTGATGCATATGCTAAGCTGCTGGGCCATCAGAATCAGAAGCAGAAAATCAAACATGTAATGAAGCTGAAAGAAGAGAATACCCAGTTGAAGCAGGTTTGTGCATTATATGAAGATCGTATGTATCTTTCTAACAGCAAATTCAAGTGCCTGTCAAATTGCAAGCAAAATTGAGCTATCCAAAAATAGGTTTGGCATGTACATACTGGAGAAAGGGCACCCTTGGTAAGCAGGAGTACATAATTCAGTGAATTAATAGAAAATAGCATTATTTTTAAAAAGTCAGAACTTGTCAATGGAGCCTGTGAGTTTACCAGATCTTGGTGGCTGTTGAGACTGCAGAAAGAAGACATCAGATGAGGGATTTAAAGACACCCTAAGTCAGGTAGACTATTGAACATACGCTTGTATAGCTTGTAAGTCCTACAACTGAGACCAGTTTAAGATGTACAATATTTGTTGGTCACTTCAAAGGGGCACAAGAAGGGGAGAAAAATAAGATAAAATGGAAATTGACCTTTCAGTTAGTGCCTTGGGTTTTTCTAGGCGGCGGGGGCGGGTGCAGAGGGAGGCTGGCAGTCTTCTAAGAGCTTCTGAAAGGAACTCTACATATCCTGCAACCTACTTTTGCCACTATTATTCCTGACTAGAAGCATTTTAATGGATAGGGTGTGCACTAAAACAGAGGTGTGATCTATGCAACCTCTCAATGAGCCCCCAACCCTGCAGTTTGTGATATTTTTAAAATTATTAATATTGCATTGCATTTTCCTAAGAATCAAAATGATGCCTGGAGTGGCTTTTATTTATTGATTGTTTTCTGTACAACCCATTAACCAAGATGTTTCTCCATGAAATGCCAGAAGGGTTGAACTATGTTTGCAGGCAAGCTAAGATTGATGCCTTTAACATCTGTAGCAGCTGTGCATGCTATTTTGTTTTTTATTTTTTTTCCCCCACCCCTCAATTTCTGTTCAAAATGGAAAATGGCCCCCAAACCTCCTGAAGTTGCCCACCCCTGCACTAAAATATAAATTCTTGTCTATCTTCCCTTATCATTCCCTTTCTGTAGCAGTCTTACCTTATATCTTAGCACATAACATTTTCAAATGGGCGTGCTGGGTTGACTGAGTAGTTCATCTCCTTTTGAAAATTGAATTTTTCTTCTAGAAGCAAACATGAGATCTGGATTGTTCTCAGTTAAGGTGTGGAGTTCAACATTCTTTAATTAAGCAAATGCTCTAATTACTCAGTATATGTGCTTCTATATTGGGAAGGCAATACAGAAATCCAATTTAAAATGAAGCCAATTGAAAATGTTTAGTCCTTAAAAAAAATTAACACATGCTTCAGATAATGCAATCAAATCTTTTAAGTGTTGAATTCTATCAAAGCTGACATGGCTTAATGAACTTTTAGTCTAGATATCTGTCCATAATATTGACAGGAAACATTGAGAGAAACCAGGAGTTAGCTCTTTTGCATAGAAGCAAGAACTCCCTTGCTGCCTAATAAAAGAGACTTGTGCCTAGCAGTGGGACGAGAGAGGGAAAAGTTCATAGGAAGGAATCCCTTTCAACAGATCTCATTATTTAGATCAATTCTCTATACTAAACACTTTTCATATATGCATGATCAACAAACTAAGCTAGTGTATTTGCTCTTAAAATATACTGGATTTATAAGGAGTATATGTCGAAGTACCCACTGACTTGGTTTGGGTCACATGGTATCATGTTTCACATCACTTGGAGTTTGTTATGGACTGAAATGTTCTTTTTTCTTAGGAGGTATCAAGGCTGCGTGCTCAGATAGCGAAGGAAAAAAAAGCTCGAGGAGATCTCCAGGAGCAAATGAATGCGATTCAGGGTATCAAACGATTTGATCCTTCTAAAGCTTTTCAACACTCTGCCAAGGAAAATGTTGCCCCCAAAACACCTTTTAAAGAAAGTGAGTGTCTGTAAATACATTCCACAAATTTGAGGGATTTGGGCAGGGCTTTTCAACAGCTTTTAAGTTATCTATAATAATAAAATGTTTTTACAAGCAACTTATATCATTTTTAATTGTACCACAGGTAACAGAAACAAAAACCAAACTGGTCTCGACAGAATGGGAATAAACTCAGATGTTGAAGTATGAAGGGCTCTACTTAGAAAATAACAGGCGTGCCCTACAGAACTGTGTGTACACCTGTAGTTTTTTAAAATGCAATTATGTGGTTGTGATTGGGAAGTTCTTTTTAAATAACTATTGAAACAATAAAGCAACAAATTATAACTATTTAAAAAATTCTCTCCCTTTGTCTGAAGTGATTGATTTTATTTTTTATTTATTATGCTGATTTTTCCTGCAAGTACTCCAAGGCAGCTGACATAACCTCCCTCCCTCCCTCTCTGTCTTATCCTCACAAGAGCACTGGGAGGTGGGTTGGGCTGAGATATGAACTGTAGAAGCTGGATTGCCTTAAATACCAGTCTAGCACTTTAATCCCTGTGCCATACTGGCTATCCCTGGTATTTAATGCATCACATTCAGGCATAGTTAGAAATACTGCATATGCTAGTGAAGCTAGTTCTTGTAGATGTTAGCTGATCTAAGAAGTTAACATGATTGCTGTGTTCTGTTGCATGTTTAACTATCATGCATGCATGTGTACCATGGAATCTGGTTCTTGGGCTGTTAACATGAGAGTGTGCATGCAGAGGATTTACAGACATGTTCCACCTCTGTTGCATGAGGTGGTACAATGGCTTCAACAGACAGACTGGGGAAATCAATCTTGCCAGATGAGGAAGGGTGCTTTAGGAAAATAGCAAAGAAGGGCTTTGGGAGGTCATACAGAATTGCTTGAGTGCTGATGAAAATTGAACCCTGGGGACACAAGTGCATGCAACTAGGAAGGGAAGGACAGGAAATAAATTATGGGTATAGGTTTCTGCTTCAAAGGAAGAAGAACTCAAAATCTTCACTTCTAGATTGGTTGTAAAAAGGCCATGGATGTGGATATTGCTCAGTTCCAGATTTCAAAAATGGAGTAATAGATTCAAGCTGCTTCACCACAGTTGAAAAGGAAGTTGCCAAGATATAGCCAGAGAGCTTCAAAGAGCTCAGACCTGATATTTGCTTGTTGTCTTTTTAGTACTCACTGTGATGATGGGGAGAGCAAATGGAAGCTAAGCTATTTCTGGGGACACGAGCCCCCACATTTTTGACTAAAACTCGATTTGGATGGGAAGCCTTGCCAATGGGACTTCATTTTGAGTTCTCAATGGCATTCAAGACACTTGGTGCATCCTCATGCTTTCTAATAGTTGTTTCCCAGTACTTCAGATTTGTTCTATAACTCTTTTTTGTTATAGAAAATAGTTAAACTGCAAAATAGTGGAGTGCTATCAGTAACACGGTAGATAAACCCCATTCAGATACTTTCTGATTATAAAATGTGTTAAAAACAAGAATGCATGGTAAGCATTGTAAGTCCCATGGGCCTCAGCATGCAGATTTTGGGTGTTTTTCTGCTTTCCTCACCACCTGCAACTATTCATTTGCGACCCAAGTCTTTAACCTTATTGTCTAATCCTAACTGCAGCACCGTTTGTAGACATACACAGGGTTGCACTCACTGCCACTGTACTGGTGTCCTGGGAAGAAGCTTCATTCTTTTTGTAACCTTCCTATGCTGTCTGAATGGCAGTAAATGAAGAATTAGGGACTATGAAAATAGGACTACACATTTTTGTATGTGTACTTGCCCTCATACTGCCACTCCTGGTGTGTGTTAGCTAGCACGAGTTAATATCACGAAATCTTAATCTTGTATTTGCCAGGAGCATTCAAGGTAACTGGCAGTAAACTTCTAACTAAGCTGGGTGTAATACCTTCTTGAAAAGAGCAAGTCCATGTTTAATAAGTGAGAATGGCTTCAAACAGACATGCATTTCCCTTGCTGGGTCTACACTCTCACTGCAGGAAGTTTAAACAGGGTTATACAGTGTGCTCATTAATTTCTTAGCAGGAGACACAGTAGGCCCCTACCTTTTCATGGCTAAATAGAGGGGTAGAAATGAGTTTTTAAAGGTGCAACCCTTTATTTATTTAATTTGCCTGAAGTATTTAAAAGATTAGCTGGGGCATGCTGGGAGTTGTAGGATTCTTTCCGCTCTCGAGGCAAGACATCTATGCCCTCCCTTCTGCCGGGGCTCTGACGTCACAGAGAACAGGGCGGGGCAGCGCACGTGATCTTGGGGCAGGCGTTCGCTTCCCAGCGGGCGACACTCCCTTCAGAAATGAGCCTCGAAGGTGAAGAGCTCAGCCAGGCGTCCCCTCCCCTAGGCGGTGCCCCGAAGGGCCTTTCCGAAGTGTCCCAACGGCGGTCTCGCGCACGTCCGCGGCCGGCGGGCCCCGCCCAAGCCCCGCCTCCCGCGTCGGACGGGCCAATGAGCCGCGCCGGCTGAGAGGATGCCGAGACAGGCGTGGCCGGCGGAGGGCTTTCGGCTGCCCGCGCCGCCTCCTCCTGCTCCGTGACCAGCGCCCAGTGGAGCGCCAGCCGCGGCCGCTGCTCTTCAGGCAGGAGGGATGGTCGGGTGGGAGAAAGGACTTCGGATCCACTTTCAGCCGGGCAGCTGCTGGCTCGAGCAGGTGAGGCAGGGCCGCGCGGCTCTCCCTGCCGCCCCCCCCCCCGTGGCCTCTCCGTGGTAAACAAGCATCGGCCGCGCCCCCTTCCGCTCGCTCCCTTCCGTCTCTTTGCGGGTGGCGGCTCGATCTTCCACCCTCCACCCGTAGCCGGGGCACACGCTTGCCGAGCGACCCCCTGCCTACGGAGGAAACTAGTCCCGCTGCGGCCAGTGGGACCTTCCCGTTACGGGAATTGCTGGAGTTGCGGTCCAGCCCGGAGAACGTCGCTTCGTCGAGAGAGTTAACTGTGTCGATAACATGGGGCACAATTCCGAGAGATGCGTAAACACATAGTGCTTACGTGCACAGGATCTCTGTGTTTCTATGGCAGCGGGGAATAAGCTAAGGATTCCGTCCTGTGCATGTTTGCTGTACTGCTTGCTCTCATGTAAGACCTCTCCATCAGGAAGTGGGAGGAGACTGTAAGGCACTTAAGTTGCAAGGCTATTTTTGTAGGACGGTAAGACCTGTTAAGCACAATAGGACTTCATTTGGAGTAAATCTGTGTAGGATCAGAGTGAAAATGTATTAAACCACCCCCCCCCGAATTCCTAAAAGGGTAGCTTAGAACCTTTTCCCATACATTGTAGACCTTATTGGCTCACTGTATAATGCATAATAGCAGTGCAATCCTGATCACTTTTACTGGGATGTAAGCCCCATGGAGTCCAACAGTACTAACTCTTAGGTAAGTAGGTGTCAGGTGGAAAACTCAGTGTGAACTGCTGCATGCCAGCCTTCTCTGACTTGGTGCTTCCAGGTTGTGTTGGACTACAGACTGTTCCCAGCATTCCTCCAGCTGCAGTGTTAAGAGTTGTAGCAGTCCGATACATCTGGATGGGGCGAGGTTGGAGAGGGCTGTTTTTCATGTTTAATCTGGCAGTAAATCCAGTTGAACTTGATGGGATTTACTTCAGGATAAACACATATAGGTATATGTGTGTAAATAGTATTTATTTATTTATTTTTTAAAAACATTTCTATGCCGCCCCATCGCAACGAAGCCTCAGGGCAGCTCACAACATTCATAAAAACTACAATTAATAATTTAAAAACTGGTACCATCTCGGCTATATATATTAAAATCTATAAATACAATAATAAATTAACAGTTAAAATAACTTTTAAATAAAAAGGTCTTCACCTGGCACTGAAAAGCAAATAATGACGGCGCCAGGCGGACCTCTCTGGGGAGGTTGTTTATCAATATCAAATCAAAGCATTATCAATATGCTTTCTCTTTTAAACAGGAAGATGTTGATGTTCCAGATAGACGTGTTCTGATTACTGGTGCTACTGGACTCCTTGGCAGAGCTGTATATAAGGAATTTAAATCAAATAATTGGAATGCTGTTGGCTGTGGGTACAGTCGAGCTCGGCCCCTCTTTGAACCAGTTAATCTTCTGGATACTGCAGCTGTTCATAATCTAATCCAGGATTTTCAGGTTAGAATTGTGGAAGGAAGGTTGAAGGAGTTATGGCTTGGTTGCTATGCTTCTGTTACCCATGCAGCAGTGAACACTTCTTGCCTGTTGGTTACTTGTGCAGCTTCTGTACTGGAGATGCTTGAGATGGAGAAGCTCTTGCATTTGTTGAAAGCAGCTTTCTGTTGGAGGCCTTTAAAAAACCCTTCTGAAATCTATTGTGTTCACTAGTGTGTTGTTTATGAATCCAATTTGGGGAAATTTTTTTTAAATGACACAGTAGAATAAGTGGGGAATTCCAGATAGAACTTTCTCTATGCAAATTCTGTGCACTGTTAGAATTGATCTGAGATAGGCTGATGTCGTAACACTAGAACACTGAAATGCTATGGAGGATAGTTTACTGTACACTTTAGTGGACCCCCCAGTTATGCTGCTTGGGTGAGAAATATTAGTTTGCTGCAGGTACTTGTTTGCATTATAATCAAATGAATGTTTAATTTGCAGCCTCATGTGATAATACATTGTGCAGCTGAAAGAAGGCCAGATGTTGTAGACAGTCGCCCAGAATTTGCATCTCAGCTCAATGTGGCTGCTTCAGGAAACATAGCAAAAGAAGCAGGTAAAAGAAGTGCATTTTTGTGGCAGGATGCATTCATTGTTCTTCTGTATCGCATTACAAGTACGGGCAGAACACCTGACCTTAGGTTCCCGGCCATGAGATACCCATCACTCACTTTTCGAATAACACGGCTTTTTGCAGGGATTAGTGCAATCTGCTGGCTGCTGTTGGAGACAAACATTGGTCTAGAATGACTTCGGTCTGATTCAGCATTTATCATTGCTAATGAAATGGCACACCTTTTAATATTCCTTATATTTCTTTTTATCTTAGCTCAGGTAGGAGCATTCTTGCTCTACATTAGTACAGACTATGTATTTGATGGAACCAATCCACCCTATAAGGAGAATGATGTACCAAATCCCCTAAATCTCTATGGCAAAACGAAACTAGAGGGTGAAAGGGCGGTTCTAGAAAACAATGAAGGTGAGTCTAAACTTGGTGTTAGCAGTTTTCCTTAACCGTTAAAAATGGACAGCTACAATCCTGTATTCTCTGTTTGGGATGAAGGCCTCTTGAATGCAATGTGACTTACTTTTGAGTGGGTCCATATGCAAGTCCTCTGTTAGGGTTAAGAGAGAAATAGGCTAACTGGGCATACACTAGGAAGTTCAGAAGCTTCCGTGAGCTCATTTTCACGTGGAAAGTCACAGTATAAATGAAATATGTCAGAAGGAGCACTCCAGCCCTGCTCCTCTCCCCCATCATGCTTGCCATGTATAACTCATGAAGGGTGATACAGCCTGAGGAGAAGACTCTGTGGAGATTCCACAGGAGCCAGAATGCTGAAAAATCCAAGTTCTGAGTCCAGTGGAAAAGCTCCATAAAGAATGAGGCTCTTCTCTTCAGGGTGTTGTTACCCATTTGATGGTGACAAGCATGACAAAAGAGAAGGCAGGGCTAGAGTGTGCCTTCTCATGATAACGTCTTAGCAGGGCTCCATTGGCCAATGGGAAAGGCCAGTTGAGTTTTGCAAGCACCACAGTTTCTTCTGCTAATTGTACTTGGATTTAGAGCAATGAGACTATATCCCTAGAGAACCAGCAGCTTCTTAATATCTTTTAGCACTTGTCCTCTTTTTCCTTCCTTATTTTTGTTCTATTGGCTCACAGCTTTAAAAAATGGGGGTATGAAGGCAGAAAACTGGGACCCGAATGTTCAGCAAAGGAGTAAACCTGGAGAGTAGGGTGTTGAAATTTTTTTAAAAGGCCTGAAAATAATAACACTGAAATCAAGGGGATGGCCTCATTTGGAGTCTTGTAGTCACCTCAGAAATTGTAAAGCTTGAAAAGGTGCAGAAAGGGGGAGCTGAAATGATGAAGGGATTAGAGCAGGGGTAAGGAATCTACAGCCCCTCTGATGTTGTTGGACTCCCAGCTACCATCAGACCAAGCCACCATGGCCAGTGGTCAGTGTGGGAATTGAAGCATGCCAGAAGTTGCTGAACTACAAGTTCCCCACCCTTGGTTAGTCCCTATAATGAAAAGCCGAGGTGCTTGGAGTAATTTTTTTGTTTTTTATTTAGCAAAATAGTGCTTTGTTAATGAGAGAATTTACGGAAAGGTTCCTCTCCATCCAAGTATAAAAGAACTTTGGATTTTCCAGTGCAACTGCAACTAGGCTGCTGACTTAGCATTAAAAACAAATTAAGGTTCAAGGCTGACAAGTCTTATCAGCAGCTGTTAGTTTTTTGTAGCTAAATGGGGCTAAATGAGTTCATAGGCAGCATGTCTTTAAAAGATGCAGAAACCCAAAGGTGCAGTGGCCTGCTTGCTTGCTTCCCAAAGTCATGGCTACTGTTGGAAAAAAATGCTGGACTAGCTGGACCCTTGTTTTGATCTAGCAGGCTGTTTCTTATTGAAAGTGGAACTTACACTGGCAGGTTCAAGGACTGGTGGTGAATGTTGTTTGAGTGAATGAAAAACCAGGTGAATGGTGGAGATAGAAGAGGAGAGGTAAAGTAAGAATTGTGAAGCAACAAATCGAACTCCTCTCTGTTTCATTTTAAAAATGGTTCCCAAGTACTTGTGCATTTGGAAACGGGGTCAGCTGAACCTGCACGCTGAGGCAAACTTTTGTGGCCCAGGTCCTGAGTCAGCTCAGTCAAAGCAGTGCTTTTTGGATGACAGAGTTTGTTGGCTGGGTTATCTCTGTAATCAAGCAGTTCACCAACCTCAATATTGTCTGCTGAGAGCATTCCAGGAAACATCGCTAGATTTTATAGTAAAAGCTTTGTGTTGCTCATGCAGAATAGGAAGCACAAGTTGGCCAGCCCAAGTTAGATCCCACATTTTTCATGTCTGTGAGAAGCAGCAAGCTACAGGGTTGCATAATTTAGGATGTCCAGTGAATGGATGCCAGTTTCAGTGTGCTGGTCTGTCAAATTTATGTGATGTGGGGTGGACAGAGCAATGGATTTTTGCATTCAGCAGTTGTCACTCACCTGGCTTGACTGTAGGTTTATTATAGATAATTGTTATATACTGGGAGTACAGATGAAGGTGATAAAAAACCTCAGGCAAATGGATTTCACATAGAGCAACATGAGAAGAAATCTTTGCCATTATTTTTCCTTATTTTCTCTAAAGTTTGAGTGTCTTTCCTATTAGACAGTAAGGTGCTTCTCAGTGTAATTTAACATTGCTTCCTTGCATAATTTTATGCAATTTGAGGTTTCATCTGAAATCTTGACACAATCAGTGCTTTTTATAAAGGCATCACATAAGTAGGCACTGTCTTGAGGGAAAGAAGTACATCAGACTAGTTCAAAAGCATTTTTGTATATTTTCCTTTCATCTCAGTTTAGGATTTTTATATGTATTCATAAATCTATCTTTGTACTTATAGCTTTTCTCATCTTTTAGGTGCTGCTGTGCTTAGAATTCCTGTTTTATACGGAGAAGTTGAAAGCTTAGAAGAGAGTGCTGTGACAGTGATGTTTGACAAAGTGCAATGTAATAATAAATCTGCCAATATGGACCACTGGCAGCAGAGATTCCCCACCTATGTCAAGGATGTTGCCAGTGTTTGCCGACAGCTAGCCGAGAAGAGAATGCTGGTGAGAATTCCTGTAAATGAACTTGAATCAGGATTCCAAAAGCTTCCTCTCCCATTATGATTGTACACGTAAGCGTGTAACAATACTAGCAGGAATTCTACAATGGTGTGGTGCTTAGAGTGTTGGACTGGGGCTTGGAAGGTCCAGGTCTTAGTCCCCACTCAGCCATGAAGCTCACGGGGCAACTTTGGGCCAGCCATTTACCTGCCTCACAGATACAAGGGTCTGTCGGAGAACTTGGTAAGCTGCCTTGGGTTCTTTGCAAGAGAAGGAAAGCCGGGATATAAATGTAGGAATAATAATAATAATAATAATAATAATAATAATACGATTTCAAGAAGACATATTAACTATTTTAGTAGCCTTGTAACACTTCCCTATTCAAGTCATGACATGAGTACAATATGGTGAGATTCAAGCTTGTAAGGGATATAAAATATTAATATTTACAGGTATTTGAGGCCTGGAGACTAGAATGGAATTATAAGGTAATATATTAGTGGAGGAAAGACTGGAATGAAAGTGGGCAAACAAGTTTAGATGGGGGGAAAAGCAGGCATCTTGCATCTCTTGGGGCAGAACTGCATGCTATACAACCTTGGGTTTACTACCAAAAAGGGCAGCCTGGAGGAAAGTCCTCCTTCCCCAGAATTGTATTGGATTTACTTTGTGTCCTGATGTGGTGGCATCAGGTGTCTTCCTGCCAGCTGTGAAGGAAGAAAAGAAACTCAAGCTTATGCCATGAAACACATACGAAGGCTGAGCTTCGGGCCCTTTAAAGCAGAGGCAGGCAATTTGTGTCCCTTCAGATGTGTCAACCTCCAACTCCCATTATCCCTCAGCACAGGCTACGCTGGCCAGGCTGCTGCGAGTAGCTTGCCAAAGTATCTGGTGGGCTTTAAGTAGCATATTCTTACTGTAAAGGCTTACTTCTTCAGATGTCCAGGAGAACTCTCTTGCTAAGTCTTAGTACTATACATTCAACAACTGTTAATATATCACTTGACATCGAGTAGCTGCATCCAGGACAGTGTATTTAATCTGCAGGGCACATTCACCAAGTAAATTTGTGTAAAGAGTTTTAAATTTTGTTGACCTTACAACATGATAGTGCTACCTTGGAGAGAAAGGATAGTGCTCGTTTGGAAAAGATTTGTATTACAAATGTTTAGAAAATAAGACCAAATATCATTTGTTCATGAGATCAAGGTCCCTGAATTTTGCTGTAGCCATCAAGTAGCTGCGTCTTGCTGAGTAATGGGCAGTGGTATGTTAAAAGGCATTCCTTATCAAGGCTGCTTAGATCAACATGAGCTGTGCCTTCTCTCTAGCTGACTTTCTTGGGGGCTTTTCCACTCGCCATACAAGCCCTTGGAGCAATTTCTCCAAGTTTGTCTAGGGAATGAAATAGGCCCTGCTGAAAAATGACCAGTGTGTAGTCATCTTCCCATCAAGGACTTTGGGGCAACTGGCATTTGCCTCCCCCCACCTGAATTTTGGTAGGGGCTTTTCCTCATCTGATGTACAGTGTATCACAGAAGTGAGTACACCCCTCACATTTTGTAAGTATTTTATTATATCTTTTCATGTGACAACCCTGAAGAAACGACAGTTTGCTACAATGTAAAGTAGTGAGTATACAGCTTGTATAACAGTGTAAATTTGCTGCCCCCTCAAAATAACTCAACACACAGCCATTAATGTCTAAACCGCTGGCAACAAAAGTGAGTACACCCCTAAGTGAAACTGTCCAAATTGGGCCCAAAGTGTCAATATTTTGTGTGGCCACCATTATTTTCCAGCACTGCCTTAACCCTCTTGGGCATGGCGTTCACCAGAGCTTCACAGGTTACTACTGGAGTCCTCTTCCACTCCTCCATGATGACATTATGGAGCTGGTGGATGTTAGAGACCTTGCGCTCCTCCACCTTCCGTTTCAGGATGCCCCACAGATGCTCGATAGGGTTTAGGTCTGGAGACATGCTTGGCCAGTCCATCACCTTTACCCTCAGCTTCTTTAGCAAGGCAGTGGTCGCCTTGGAGGTGTGTTTGGGGTCATTATCATGCTGGAATACTGCCTTGCGGCCCAGTCTCCGAAGGGAGGGGATCATGCTGTGCTTCAGGATGTCACAGTACATGTTGCCATTCATGGTTCCCTCAATGAACTGTAGCTCCTCAGTGCCGGCAGCACTCATGCAGCCCCAGACCATGACACTCCCACCACCATGCTTGACTGTAGGCAAGACACACGTGTCTTTGTACTCCTCACCTGGTTGTCACCACACACGCTTAACACCATCTGAACCAAATAAGTTTATCTTGGTCTCATAAGACCACAGGACATGGTTCCACTAATCCATGTCCTTAGTCTGCTTGTTTTCAGCAAACTGTTTGTGGGCTTTCTTGTGCCTCATCTTTAGAAGAGGCTTCCTTTTGGGACGACAACCCTGCAGACCAATTTGATGCAGTGTGCGGCGTATGGTCTGAGCACTGACAGGCTGATCCACCACCCCTTCAACCTCTGCAGCAATACTGGCAGCATTCATATGTCTATTTCCCAAAGCCAACCTCTGGATATGACGCTGAGCACATGCACTCAACTTCTTTGGTCGACCATGGCGAGGCCTGTTCTGAGTGGAACCTGTCCTGTTAAACCACTGTATGGTCTTGGCCGCTGTGCTGCAGTTCAGTTTCAGGGTCTTGGCAACCTTCTTATAGCCTAGGCCATCTTTACGTAGAGCAACAATTCTTTTTTTCAGATCCTCAGAGAGTTCTTTGCCATGAGGTGCCATGTTGAACTTCCAGTGACCAGTATGAGAGTGAGAGAGATAACACCAAATTTAACACACCTGCTCCCCATTCACACCTGAGACCTTGTAACACTAATGAGTCACATGACACCGGGGAGGGAAAGTGGCTAATAATGCCCAATTTGGACAGTTTCACTTAGGGGTGTACTCACTTTTGTTGCCAGCAGTTTAGACATTAATGGCTGTGTGTTGAGTTATTTTGAGGGGACAGCAAATTTACACTGTTACACAAGCTGTATACTCACTACTTTACATTGTAGCAAAGTGTTATTTCTTCAGTGTTGTCACATGAAAAGATATAATAAAATATTTACAAAATGTGAGGGGTGTACTCACTTCTGTGATATACTGTAAATGAATTGATAAGGGAAGAAGGTGATAGGGAGAAAGAAGGAGGGGCTAGAGGGATAGAAAAAAGACCCAGTGAAATGGAAGGGGGGGGGGAGGGAGTGTTGGGGGGAAGGGAGGGAGGAATAAAGTAGATCCAGGGACAGAGGGGAAGATCAGCCTGAGAGATGAAAAAAGAACCAAATGAAGGCTGGGAGAGAAAGAGAGGGACTAAAGAGATAGAAAGAATAGCCAGAGAAATGAGTTTGCAGGGTGTGGGGGAAAGGAAGAAACAAAAGAGATAGAATAGCGACCAGGGAAATGGATGGAAGGAAGTAAATAAAGAGTAAGAAATGAAAGAACCAGTGAAAGGAAGGCAGAGGAGCCAAAGGTACAGAAAGAAGGAAATAAAGATGAGACACAGAAAAAGATGAATAGGAACTGGAGTGAGATAGGAAAAAATGAGAGAGAAGTGATGGAGGAACTGGGGAAGAAAAAAGGATGGGAAAGAGAAAATGGAGGGGAAAGAAAAGGCACAGGAAGAAAAGCCAGGGAGCAGGAGACATTTATGCACAAAAGCACAGATAAGGAGCAGTCCGAACACTTTTATAACCCCCACCCCAAGATAGCAGTCAATTTGAGGTGGTGCTCGGGGCACTTTTGCAGAATTTCAGATGTGCCCACAGGCCCAAGGAGGTTAGGCACCCCTGCTGTGACTACATGTGCTGCAAGCATCAAATTATGCAGCAGAGGCAAAATACATAGCAGGGAGTCCTATATAACGATTATACAAATCAATTTGGAAATGGCTATGAATTAGTTGAAAGCTAAAGCTTCCAGTTCAAGAGAGATAGTGTGTACCATTTTCTACTAAGCAAGAATTAATAGCCTAATCCAGAAATTTTAGACTGAGTTCAGAGTGTCTTGCTTTTGTTTTGGGGCCTTAAAAGGAATGTCCTGAAGCATTGTTTAGAGTAGCTTTCTTTTGTTGTATGGTAGGATAGTGAAATACTCAAGAATACATCCTTCATATATGTGTCTCTCTAGGATCCATCCATAAAAGGAACATTCCATTGGTCTGGTAATGAACAGATGACCAAATTTGAAATGGCACGTGCCATGGCTGATGCTTTCAACCTTCCGTCTAGCCATTTGAGACCAGTAAGTTAACAAGGCCAAACTATACCTGGTGAACATTTTGCATTTAGTTTATATTGTAATCTGAAATGCTGCTCTCAAGAAACTGTCTTCCTTTTGCCTAGTAAGATATCAAACCAATACTACTTGATCAACCATTTATTTCAGCTTCTTCCTGCTGTTTCAGTGGGATTTTTTATTTTTGTCTCTGCTGTTTAAAGGTACTCTGGAGCAGTGGAGGCTAGCAACTTAGCCTTGGATTTGAAAAGCCCCACGTGTGTAGGAGAAGAGAGTCCCATTCCATTGGCACTCCCTACACGGAGTTATATAATGATCTGTAAGGGCCCTTTATCCCAGCCTCACCTGGTGGCCCTTACCTACGGAAGAGTGGAGATAGGCGGATGCATGGAATTCCATGCAAATGAGTGAGCACACTGCCAGAGGGGGAATGGACTGCTCAGTCCCTCCTTGACCAACCCCTTGTGAGTCCCTCCATCCCTCTTGTGTGGTCAGCCATATTGGCTAAGGCTGCCTGAGTGGGGATGGAGTTCTTGGTCCCTTTTCTGCCAGCGCTCAGCAGGCTAGTAAAACTTGGTTGAAGGCTTACTTGTGGGCTTGTTCACAAGGCTGCTGTACCTTCAGGAACAGATTCCCAAGGAACACGAGAGACTGCAAAAGAGAACCTCATGGTCTGTACATGGCCCTCTGGATCCCAAGAGGAAGACCCAACCAAGAGGTCTGTTAGGGGAAAGGAAACCTACTGCATCAATGCAAGCAACAACTAGTATTCAGTGATGACTACAGTTATGGGAAAGTGTTTGGATAACTTATATTGGATAGCAGATTCCTAGAAAGAAAAGCTTTAAGTTTTTGCTCTAGCTGCAGCACATAATACTTTGCTGCTTGTTCTTATTTTAAGATTACAGATAGCCCGGTAGTGGGTGCTCTTCGTCCCAAGAATGCTCAGCTTGACTGTTCTAGGCTACGGATGTTGGGCATTGGACAGCACACACCGTTTCAAGTTGGAATCAAGGAATCACTTTGGCCTTTCCTAATCGACAAGAGGTGGAGACAGACTGTCTTCCATTAATGTGTAAATATTTTAGTGTAAGTATGGTATGAGGCACTTTTTAAAAAATGGGGGGAAAGAATAGTTTTGTATTGAATGTTCTATGTTTCAAGTTTAATTCAATCAGGAAAAAATGGTCTTGCACTAGTGAAATTGTAAGCGGTTCGGGAGAGAAAAAAGGAACCTTTCTTGAAGTGATTGATACTTCCTGCTGCCCGCTTGCTGGCTTGCTGTAAATATCTAGTGATCTGTGATTACTACAGCCTTCAGTAAGAGTTGAGATGAGGATATATTTCCTCAGAGCTGAGTTTTGTGTGTGCTTGCAGTCGCTATACACAATCTCTCTTGATATTTGTTTTCCTAAATGCCAAAAAAATCAAAGTGAAGCACAGAAATTTTCTGTTACATTTTTGAAGCTATTCTGATTTATTGAAAATACAGTGGGAAGCACTGGATTATTATTCTTTTTTTTTTAGTGATGATCAGAACATTCTAAAGTAACACATTATTTTTGCAATGAATGTGTAGTTTTGACATTTCAAAGATTTTCACAATGTTCTGCGTTTTAGAACTCTTGCTGTTTTCTTACATTTGTACAATACTGTTCTGGTATCATTCTCCAATGCATGCTCATATATGCACCCTGACAAGCACAGCTAGGCTTTTTTTGGTATGTCAGAGGCATGAAATGTCTATTCTACCTGGCTTTTTCTTGTCCATGTTTGACTAGAAAAGTTTGGATCCTGTAGAATCCAGAAATCTCAATATTCCTTAAACCTCCACATTAAGCAAATACAAGAATGCTCTTGGTTTCGCTCAGCAAAGAGGAAACAATTGAGAACAATAGAAATACCTAGTTATTCCTGCCTCAAAGTGCACATGCAGGTAGGGTGACTGTATTAGGTCTTTACACTGCCCTTCTTGTAAGAACAAAAAGCTAAGTGTGTGATGAAGGCAATGAAAGCTACTAAAACTGCTTAGCATGAATTTCCAGTTTGAATAAGTTTACTTTTGTGCAAATTCTGTGTTCTCACTTGGGTGATATATTGGGGAGTATGTGCCTTGAACAGGCTTTCAGCATTGAACAAATACTCCAAAGAAGCTTCTCTTCATGCTCACCCTGCTCTTTGAACTTTCTAGATTTAAAAATAAAATGTAAGAAAAAGCTACCAGCCTTCTTTGGTACTTTGTTTTCCTTTTAAAAGCACCCAACAGCTAAACAGCCACTTTTCATACAATATTTTGAGATTACTGGTATTGTCAGTCCTTTTCTGTAAGAACATATTATAACTTGTTTGTCCTAGCCTGAAGTCTTGATATGTACTTGCTAAGTTATAAATACAAGATGGTATTAAAGATGTATTACTGGCCTGGTATCTTGTCTTTCTTGAGTATCATTTGGGGAGTTTCACTTTTCTGACAGCTTTTGTTCTTGAGAAGATCATTACGTATTCATATTAGTTTCAGATTGTTAAAAGTATACCCCCCAGTTAGCACTACATCATTATTGTTTCAGCTATTTTTCAGCACGCTGTATTAGCTCATTATTGCAGAATTAATAATCCAGCGGCAGTTCTGGGGCCTTTGAGAGCCTTTCAGCCTTTTCTTCAGGCCAACTTCTCTGGAGAAGACAATCATGCTAGGGAAAGTCGAAGACAGAAGAAGAAAAGGAAGATCAAATATGAGTTGAATTGATTCCATCAGGGAAGCTGCAAATGTGAATTTGGAAGAGGAGAGCAAGGCTGTCATGGATATAACATTTTGAAGGGCTTTCATTTGTAGGGTCAGTATAAGTTGGAGATGACTTGACGGTCCACAGCAAGGATAGCAACAGCCCCCTTAATATGGAAGAGGTAGGACAGGAAAATGGATAATTCTGTTCTACCACACCTGATCTCATTCAGTGCTGTTTCCTAGGGAGGCTGGCACTTTGGTTCAGGCCCTGGCAAAGACCCAGTCAGACTGCTCTGTGAAGTAAGCCTTGTAGTAATAATGTAACATTTAAGGGCTTTGGAAAATCCACTAGTAATTAGGACCTAATTTTTTACTTCAGGCAGCTGAGCCAGAAATAGGATGTGAAACTGCTGATGTAATAGCTTCTGGAAGTTTGAACAGAACAAGCTGCTGCTGCTGCTAAATAGCTACACCGGCATGTACGAAAAGCTCCTCATTTTCCCCAGAATCCAGTGCACCTTCCCATCTTTCAAAATGTCATTGGGCATCGACAGAAGGACGTTCCCATTAGGCGTGGCTGCACCTCAGTGAAATTCCCTGTCACATGCGCCTCGCAGGGCTGGGGCCCTCAATGCACGGGAGCAGAGTGGACAGCATTGCACCAGTTCCCCTCATCCACTGCCTCCCTGCTTCCTCCAGCAACTGCTCTTCAGTAGCTACGCTGCTGCTGGGGCACTTGCAACAGCCAGAGAGTGGCCGGCGGAGCTCTGGGTGTCCCAGCACTGCAGGAGCTCTGCAGCTGGCACAAGGCAGGACTGGGCTGGGCAAGCCAGTGGGTGAGCCATGGTGGCACTACCTCCTTGCCTTGCGGGGCTGGCCCGGAAAGCAGTCACCGTAATTCCTAGGTGGAGGGCATCCCTATAGAATGTGTGTCATGTGATCTGCTCCTCCAATTTAAACATTTGTAGTTTTGGCAGCCGCTTTATACTCCTTATATTTTATTATATTCCTTTGTCTTTGGACATTCTGCTTTTCAGCCTGTAATCAATCTGCCTTTCCTTACTAGGTTTCCATCCCTGTTTTGTAACATAAAGGAATTTTTCTGCCCACGTTTCCCTTGTGATTGCATACAAGCATGGTCAACTGCACGTCAGAGGTTTCTTTATGAAAATTTTGTCGATACCTATTTAACATTTGGCACTGCCTGTTCTCTCTAGCCTAGTTTTACTCTATTACAGAAGACCAATGCTTTGATTTTCCTAGTATAGCATTTCATTTTGGGAGTGTAGGATTTTAATATCAAACCTAGGCATATGTCTTGGTATTATGTCAGATAGATTAAAAGCCACATCTTGGAGATGAAGGGCAATTTTTTCCTTCAAAATAAATGCAAATACATTTCCTCTAACCTTTGGCTTTTTAAAAAATCCCCTCGTAAAATTGAAGGATTTTGAATTAATAGCATCCAATATTGTAATCTTTTCAAGGAATATTAAAGTCTGAAGACACTCTTGCTTTAACCTCTCTTGATATTTTAAAACCTAGATCAAGTATACAAGTTATGGGGGACAGTATGTTTCCTTTATTTGGGGGAAATACAAAGAATGGATGTTTGAGCAGAAGTTGTTAAATCAATAGCATTGTTCTAAGTAGCCAAATGGCAGCACTGCTTGGCAGCAAGGTGGACCTCGCTGTGTATCCCCAGGCCTCTCTACTCGAATGCATTGATTGCATCTTGATGATCTGGTCCTTGTAAGGAAGATCCAGTAAATTCTACCTCTGCTTCGGTTTTGGCCTCCCAATTACTGTGAACAAGAAAAGGACAAACTCCAGCTCATAGGCCCAATCTGGCCTACATGGAGTCCAAATCCAATTGTCAGAGGGTTGAACACTTTCCATGGAATGTGCCTAGCACAAAAGGGAATTCCTTTCTTCTCTCTGATCAAGGATCAGCGAAAAGCTGGGAATTCCTTGCACCACTTACACACCAGTCAAATCCCAGAAAGGAAAAAGCCAGCTCAGCAAGGGCTTGTAGGAGTTGGCTTCTGCAGCACCAGCAGAGTCCCTTTCTCTGGAGAAAGGAAGGGCATGGAATCCTGTACTTCTGTCCTTGCAGAACTTTCTTCTTTTTTTAATAATGGGACAATTATAGCTGGATCTCAGATGAACTACCAGGTGGTACCATGTTCTGTAACCTGGTTATGTGCTTCTTACTAGCTCCCCATAAAGAGCAGCAACTGTGGTGCAACAGTTCTGAGAAAGACTTCTAGCCTAACCTCCATCAGCCAAAATCTTTTATCTGAACAGAAGGCCCAGGAGAATTTGTATCTTCAGCCAGCACTTAAATAGTAATGTGGGTACAAGGCAGCCACTCCTGTTTTACTATCTCAGGAGTTTATCTCAGTGATACAATCTGAGTTGCAAATTCCATTGTTTTCAAATCAGCACCTCTCATTTTAATGGGGAGTGCCTGTGGCCTTGGGTTTTGTCCTTCAAAGTCTATTGCTTGTGCTGACTGCTTTATTGCTTAGTTTGAAGAGGGCTGTTCGAATAAGCAACATTGCAATGAAAGTTTTGACTTAAGTAATATGAATCTATTCCAGTAACTTCACAGCGGAGACTAGATAAGACTGCAAAACTATCAAGAAAGTACTGACGTTTCTTGAACTTGCAAGCTCAAAACTGTAAAAGAATCATTCCCAGCAATTGCCCAGAAAGTTGGATTCCTTTGAGTTCCATTAAAAAAAAAAATCCACTTGTCCAGAAGCAAATCACTTGAAGAAATTTCTTGGCCATTTTAGAAAGCACTGAAGCATAAAAGCACTTCACCATTCAATAGGAATTTTGTAGAGTTGCTGTGGTGGTGATAAAATCTCTAAGGTTTAGTTTGAGTCTCAAACATAATACCATATTGCTGAGATTTCAAACTTTAGCATGTTAAATTTTAATAACTAATATATTTCAGGGGCTTGGAATACAACAAACATTTAGCACTGCATGCAAAATCTTACCAGATGTTAACTGAAGTCCTTCACTGCTGCAGAACAAGTTTTTCCTCGATGGAAGTGGTTGTCTACTCTTTGCTCTGAGGAAGGTCTAGTCTAGTTTATGAGAGGCCGCTAGCAGACATATTGACTGCATAATCAGGAAAGGTACCAAGGCACCATTGCAGCTTAGTATCCATGCCAGGTTACCCATTGCAGAATTAGTCTAAGTACCTTCACTGGGTACAGTTTATCATGTCCAAATTCGATGAGTGGGACAGTTTATATCCCTCAGGGAATTTGGATAACACAACAAACCGTGAGGGTAATTTGGATAATTCCACAACTTTGAATGGCATGTCCAGGGCAGGGAAAAAAGCTAGGTTTCTTTTCCTTCCCCATCATACAAATGGGGAGACCCAAGTAAGAGACCCACCTGACGGTTTTCTTTGCCGGTCATTGTTTTGTGACTTCATGAGATGCATTTTGAGGATGGAAGGAATGACAGAGACCAGGAAGCCCCTTATCCCAGCCTTCTGATTACAAGCCACATCTCAACATGGAACTGGATGGCAAGTGGTGTCTAGAGAGAAAGGAGAGAAAACTTAACTTGACAAATCAGGATCATTTGCTAGTAACAGGCTGCCATTCAAGGTTAGTGGTGAGCCATGAGAGCTGGAGTCTGCTGGCTGTTAGCATGGCTCGTAACTGGCGACTTGATCAATTGCTGCTGTAAGACACTTCTAAGATTAAGCTTGAAGGAACGTGGGATGTTATCTTCAGGGGACACTTGAACTTTTTGAATTTACAGCAGCTTCTCAAATACAATTGGAAGAAAGATAATATAAAAACAAGTATTGGTTGATGGGATAGAGCAGCACAAGAGGGAGAATTATAGGCATTTGTGGGAAGAAACAATCTGAGCAGTAGCCAAGAAGGAGCAGTGCCGTGACTTGATGAAGTCTAGCTTCAGAAGGGCTCTGTTTATATAGCGGTAAGTAATGGAAAAGCATTATCGGGATTGACAGCAGGACACATGAAACGCAGTCTTCCTTTAGCCTGTATTTGGGATCCTTAGCATGTGATTCTGCTTCCTAGAGAAGGATATGCTTGAGAGTGGCCCATCTCCTTATAACTGAAACAACCATGGGGAATAAAGGGAGGGCTACTGGGAAGGCTAGAGCTGTCTGAAAGCTGTATTTCGGCTGCTGCCTGAAACCACGGAGTTACTTATTTATAGTTTAAGAAATGTATCACTCTTAGTAAGGTGGCAATCAGTTTATCAAGAGCCAGTAGTGGAGAAACAGTCTGCCCTTTGGCTTTTTTCTGCAGGTAAACTTAGCTTCTGGTTAAGATTAAGTTTGTCCCTCTCCCTTTATTTGGCTTTTTAAAAATCTAATTTGTATCATCCTGGTATTTTGCATTAGCCCAGGTATGTTGATTTTATTTATCTATCAGCTTGCTATTCTGTGGAAGAAAGTTTGAAAAGCAAAGAAAAGCCACATGAAAAGCAAAGAAAAACTTGGAAATTCCTCTGTAGCTTCTGACTGACATTTCTAACATGCAGCCTGAAGGAGAAGTTGTCATTGTGTGAAAAATGTGTCATTACAATTGTCTCCACAGTCTAAGCAGCTTGAATAAAAGGTTGGATTCTAGCAAAACTCTCCAGGGATCCATTGATTCTATTGATGTTTGTCTTAAACCGATGCAATCAAAAG